CAATGAACACCTTAATAATTGATTCTTTACCATAGCTTCAAATAGGGAAATATTGATGATCAATTATTGACACCTCGCCTCTCAGTGCCGTGGCGTGCTTCGATATATATCAATATTTTGCCTTTGACGCTGTGGTAAAGAATCGATTATTAAGGTGTTCGTTGCGAACACCCTGTTTATCGATCCTTTTCTATAGGTTTAAATGGCATAACAATCCATGTATCGCTATTCACGCCACGCCACTGTCGCCTCTGGTGTTCTGGGTAAAAATTTCAGGAGGAAGTAGCTGTATTTCTTAATTTCTTACCCTGTCTTAAACTCATCGTATCAGAATTCATATTTCTGAAAGATTCAGCAAATATGCGTGGGATCTAAAAACACACACCTCACTATCCCGAACATCAAAATTAATAGTTGATCGATGTGTTGACAAAGAGATGGAGCTCTAGGTGACGTCCTCCAGCGACAGTTTTTCGAAATCATTAGTCATAGCGTTAAAATTGCAGTTATTGCCAACAGTAAAGTGTGGCTTGGGAGCAAGCCAAATGAGGAGAGAATAGAACGTTTAACACATAGGTACGATGAACAGAGAAGGGTGCAGTTCTGTGAGCATGTGTATGGGATACTTCAATACTCAAATTTTATTTTACGCAAACATATCTAAGTTCACAGGGTGAAAGTGACCAGACAGATCGAGATACAACCCCATTTACCTGGAGAATAATATTTGCAAAGAGGAAACAGACGACTCCAGGGTTGAATCCTACGCTGCCGTGCTAAGAAAGAAGGCCGTATGAACCTTCGTACGTTGCCAAATTTCTTGTGATAAAATACAAATTTGCAGGAAAACTTGTGAAAATTTTCCGTCCAATTTTCCAGAGAATTTTCTTCGCAATGTGATCTAAAGTATCATCAGAGAATTTCACGTGGAAATATTCATTATTTGTCTCAAAAATTAATATTTTCAGAGGGAAAATTTGGCAACTCTCGGATGTTCATATAGCGTTCTTCCTTAGCACGGCAGTATGAGTGACGTCACCTAGATTTTGGGGAGGTACCAACCCCTGCAGAGTCGTAGGATTAGATATCAACCAAACCAAGCTGACACCTACTCAAAATTTAGGTAATGTCATTCAACCACTAACTGCATGAGCACTAAACCGTTTTTTAGTTTAAACCTCAGGCAACATCCTAAACACTGTGGCAACCTTGTTTCAGGGTATAGCGATCGTAGCGCGTTTGGCGTCGCGCCGTGTGGTGGCAAACTTTATTCGATCTTTAAATGATCAAAATTGGTCAACAACAGGTTTAAAACACTAATTGCAAAAATGCGTAACTCGTCACTAAGTGTGAATTCTTTGTGCCGAAAACGCGAATCGCGGTATTTTTGCCGTATTTTCTAACAGTTTGAAAAATTATTCAAAATGCTTCTGGACTCCGAAAAAACATCTTATCCTAGCTATCCTCAAGAATTATTTCCCTTCTAATGACAAAAAGGAGGAATGCAGACAGATTTTTGCTCTCCTGAAAAAGCGTGTTTTCTGAAATACTCACGTCTGCAGTTTCACCATCGTGCTGGTGACTGGTGAGGTATTACATATCAAAAATGTCGGACAGCACGGGGTATTTCTCGGCATGGTTCTCACATTGTAGAGTTGGTCGAGGAACTGTGAAACTGTAAAAGTTGCAATCAGGGTTGCCGAAATGTGCGTTTCAGTATTTCTCCACTTATCTCGTGAACGCTAAAATGGCAAATATCGGTCAGTACTGGGAACAATGAACTCCACTGAGTAATGAGACTGATGGGTGTGGATCAGTACTCGTTCGAATGGACAGAAAGCACCGGCATTAGAAAAAAAATACGATGAAAGTATCGACTCAAAGTAGGTTAATCAAATGCACTGGATGTTACCTAAGTTGTAGATCATACTATACGCTCTCTAAACTTTTGGAGAACTTCATCGAAAAAAATCTAATTACTCCTGCATTTTAAACATAGAGTACATAGAGCCGTAATGTAAATGGGAGAGCTGGCGCCATGTTCTGCTCGACGAGTTCCGAACCCGGTGTGCGCCGAGTTCGGGTCACTTTTTCGATACATGTTCGATCCAAAATGGCGGTATGGAACACGTGGTGATTCCTATCTTCTTTGTTTACATCGGATGGCCGGGTACCCGTGTATCGCAAACAATCGATTATGTATCGAAAAAGTGACCCGGCGTCACACAGGAGTCTCGGAATTCGGGACCTGGAAAATGCTTAAAAGTGGCGCCAGCTCACCCACTTACATTACGACTCTATGTACTCTATGATTTTAAAACTTCTGAGGCCAGGTATTTTCACTCAAAAATTGCACGGTTTGCGGTCTATTTAAGTCTCCTGCTAGTTCAGTCGTAGAGTAAATCCCAAAAACCCTATAATATTTGGGCAGAGGATGCTCAGCTCTACTCATAATGTCCACCCTTTTTGAGTTTAGTTGAATATTAAAAAAGTTATTAAGCTTTAACGACAAATTTTGGACCTTCTTGTAAAACTAACGTGATAAAAAGTCTTGAAGGAGAGTCAAAATTTGGAACACTCAACCGGACGATATGCAGCTCGACTCATTCCACACTAAGACCCTAAAAGTAGTTAGACAACTGCCGTGTTGGATTCCCTTGACTATGCTGTACTTGGTGATAATGAAGAGCATCCTAAGGTCAACCGCAACCCCCCTCTGGATCAGATGTCCCCCCATTCCGTGTACGGCTCTCCGTCGCACCTCTCTCCACCCTCTATCAATCTCTTCCCAGCTTTTCCCAGTTCCGTCAACGAGAATCTATTTCAACGGACTTGCCACAGGAAGCTTTCGGCGTGCGGTAACGAATTGATTTCTATTGTTGTTGCACTGAACCCCCTGCCCTCGACCAGTTACGCTTTAAAAAGGTGTCTGCCACGCTGTTGCTAAACTGCTTCGTTATTTTGGGTCTTGCGTGCCGCTGACATCAGAGGAGTATGAACAATCACCACTTTAAAATGTTTTTCATTGAATTTATATCCATGATCGGTCCATAAAGTAACTATAGTTAGCGACTGTAACTGTGAAGTAATACCCATATGAGCGGCAAGGACTTATTGAAGGTGAGTTGATTGTTTAAAGTTTCTACGCGGTACTGCAGTAGAATTCTTTAAAACTAAGCTTGAACTTTCCTGGGTGGAAATAAATATCTAGACTGGTCTTTGTTCCTTTAAAAAGCGACAATTTTAGAGACTAGCAGAAGCCAATTTGGGACGGCGATTCTTTTAAGGGACTACGGGTGACATACATTTTAAAATCAAAGTTTATATATTTGTAAAAGCCATTTTTACAGCATTCTCTGGCGCTCTGCAACACCTAGCCGAATATCGAAGTTTTACCATCATAAATTATTATAATTTTCTTTATTTTCTAACTTAAAAGAACATTGTGCAAAAATTATTTTATAATTTTACGCTACTAGAGAAAAAATAAAATAGATCACTGAACAGGTCCAGCGACTGGGTGCCTCTTCAGACATCTCAGATTAAGGCGGTCTGTAAAGAAAGGTTTGTTTTTGTCCCCTTTTTTTGTCGGACCAGTTTGTGCTTCTTCTAAAATAGGAAGGTATAAAAGTGTCATAGCACTTATGAGTGCATATTACTTTGATCAACGTAATGCACCGTTTAGGTAACTTCTTAAATAACCTTGACTTTCATTTTCTAAACTTCATTGAAATGTATGGACGACGAAAAAATTTTGTCCATTTTTTTTTTCGCGAAAAGTTACTTATTGTTAGCGAAAATGGATATATCAGAGATAGAGAAAAAAAATCCATTTTACTTCTTGACTTTGATTCTCGTTGGTTACAGTTCAATAATTAAAATAGTGAAAAATTTGACGACCCTGTAACAAAGAGTTACCGACCTGCGTGATGGAATTATCATGGCGACGCGCGGTCTACCGCCATGAACCGGGAAAATAGTTTATTGCCCTGTGGATAACCTTTTCAGTTTTGGAGTGTACATGCTCTCAAAAATTGGAGACGCGGTGTGTGACGTCGGAGGATGATCGCCCCTAGCCATTAACGGGCTCTATCAAGCGGATCTGATTCGCTCATTTTCACGTATCTGGCCAGTGGCCATCTTCTTTCCTTAACTTGGAACGAAAATGATCAAACATAGTGCACTTTATAACAAATATTTTTTATATTTCTAGAAAATAGGATTGGAGAGGCTCTGTCTCCCTTCTTGTTATTTTGATTTGAGAGTCTCCTTTTTCAATTTTTTTAGAATTTAGGAAAACCATCCTATAAACTGCGTTGGGATTGACAAAGACGATTGGAAATTCAACGATCCCGGCGTTATCAAGTTCCACTAAATATGTGCACCTGTCATCTGCATTCAGATGTCATCAACAGCCTGATTGTTGAAATTTATGTCGGCAAGACAAGAATCGAAAATCGATGTAATACACGGCGTGGATAGGGCTATTATGTCTTGTCTTCTCTTGCCAACAAAGCCAGTTAAAGTTTCAATGGTCAGGCTGCAGAATAGCACTCAGCGACCCGAGATGCTGGTCATTGGAGACCCCCAAATCCTAAAATTTAAGGGCCTCATGACACCCAAAATTCCAGGCTTAGGACCTGTGTAAATCTACCTTTTATACTTCAAGGACCTGAAAGTAAAACCAAAATCCCCAGGGGGCCCGTGGGGCCGGATATCCGAAGTGCTACAGAGCACCCCGTCACCCCAGCTAATATAGACAGCCAACATTCATTTATATGGTGCCCAGAGAATCTACCATGGTCAAATCACAGGCAATCGCATTTACTACACTTTGCCTCATAAAATAATTAAAATTCCATTGTTTCAGTTTAAAATCTGTATAAATATATTTTGGGGAGGCAATTCTCGTACTTTAACTCGACTGAGGGGTTTCATCCTTCAAAGTAAAGACACATTTCATTAAATCAAGTTAGTACGTGAATTATTTATTTTCTTACCCGAAAGTCCACCAGATATCAAAGCTGATGACATTTAGCCAAAAGAATGCAGACAGAAATGTGTAATGAAGGAGATATCCTGAAACCAAACAAAGGGAAGAATTATGTACCAATCAAAGAATGCTTTTCAAAGTGAAAACATTTTGTCAATCTATGAAGCTGCTAAAAGTCAATAACTCACAAACATGTACCCTGGCACTTTATATTCTCCTAAATAATCATGTGCTAGCTCGTAAAGCAGAGCCTGACATTCTATCTACTCTTACATTGCTTTGCCGAACATCCGGGATCTAAATGTTTGCTGACTCTTGTTTTTTCCTGGCATTCAGAGACAAATCAAAGACCCATAACAAAGACTTAGTCACCTAGCTTTGCACTTTTTTTCACACGTGTTAATTTTCGAACGGAATATTTTAATTTTCTTGTATAGAGACCTGGGTATGAAATTTATTCGCGGTCTTCATTTTAACAACCTAGAAAATTCACGTGCCTCAGTTTTTGTAAACTGGTGAGAACTATGAGGCGTGTAACATGATTTTTGTATTCGCACACTTTCTTATGTTACAGTTGCATTTGGCAGAAAAATGCAGGATGGTTATTTTAAATTAGTGTATATAGAGCCTTAAAGTAATTTTCTCTATTCTTTTCAAAAGTCGTGTAGGTAGCGAGGAATGATCTTATGATTTGTATAGGTAATGTATATTTATGAGGATTCTTCCCTTTAAAAAACTTAAGACTTTCTTGATCCATGAAATTTTCAAATGTCTCGTGGTTATCAATTATCATTTTTAGTTTATGTTGAATATTTTGTCCACGGTGTCATTTGCGTGCCAGAAAACACATAAGTGATGCAGAGTATATGAGTAGGGGTAGGAATCCATACAAGATAAGAACGGTGGACGTTGGAGTGGGCAGATAATCTGCATTTTGGACAGACGTATAATCGATAGGTTGCATGAGGATTTTATAAATATCTTTTTGCACTCTGACGTCCTTATTATGATCAATTTGTTGAAGTATAGCATTTGAGAGAGACCGGTATGTTTTCACATGCCCCCTGCAATCAAACCACTTTACGCACCTTTTCCTCAGTATCTTCTGGGTGGGTTTTGCATTTTCTTTTTATATATTTTTGCCTGATTCCTTGGAATGTCTTCCTTCACTTGACAAGTTATCTTCTTGAATTTTAATGAATGAGAATTATAAGAAGTTGTTGTCTTCATTTTAATATTTAAAATTGGAAGAAAAAAATTAAATATTAAAAAATCTATTAAAGGATGAATTTTCAACAAATCAGAACGATTATGTGTCAAATGAATGAAGTCGTCCTAAAAAATCAGGCAAACAAATTGAAAATAATCCACTCTGTAGATCTTGGGGAAATGGCATGTGCAGTAAGTCGTTTGATTTTCACATTGCGTGGATAGGCGCAGCGATCTTCCTTTGAAAGAAACATTTTCATTTAACATAAATGAACAGAGAGAAATTAAAATATGATCCTCCTTTCAGAATCTCATAGACAAACCTCCTTAACAGAATACTTTGAGCATGCATCCTGCGATCAGTGTGAGCATTTGCGAATTCAACTGTTGTTCCTAAAATAAATGAACCTTTCAATGATTTTAATGTTTTAAACGTTCCTTCATAGTAAACTTGACGCATACAATTTTAGACTGACTCCAATTTTCGTTTTTCCCCCATTTTATTTTACTGATATATGTTTGAAAAATATTTTAATGCGTCTATAGCGGAAATTGATACCGCCAATGATGCAGTGGATTCATTGGGCCAGTGAAAATATATTTAGAAACTCTTTCTCTTTGAATTTCCTATATTTGAAAAACTAAATCGATGAGAAATGTGGAACCGCCACTTTTATTATCCAGTTCGATGTTCATGATGTTGTATTAAACATACATAACAGGACATAAATGCTCCGATGCTGGCTAGATGTGCGGAGAAATCAGCGCTGAAGGCCACTTTTGTTTGGACTCCGCTGTTGTAAATGGTATGCACCGTCTCTCATCTGTTTGCTAAAGACCAACAATCCGCTAATTCATCACACGGATAGTTCGTTTACAAAAACGCGTAACTGCATCTTATGATCTGAGATGCGAATACGCGGCTATATCAACTTAATGTTCGTATACTCTCCGCATGTTAGACACGCAGGAGGTCCTAGATATTTACATCCGTAAATGTGTTATTTTACACTCATGCTGGCATAGGTGGAACGAGGAGGGAGCCAGGATAGTCCCCCCCCCCTGAATTCTACTTGCTCCGTTTGGAAAGCAGACGGGGTTTTGCAAAATGACTGCGAGACATTCTTTAAATGTCTTAATACAACACAATTTTTGTTTAATGACAGCTAAAAATTTCTTCTAAGACGTCCTAATATATCCGGAATTTTCCGGAAGAGCCCCCCCCCTCCTCCTACATGGACCATCTACGGAGCGGGAAGAATGCACACAGATCCCCCCTGGTAGGATGTCTTTTGGTAAAGTATCCTGGGGAAGATATCACTGCCTAAATCACTCAGTTACGAAGTCCTTAGATACCGATGTAAACAAACAATGATGTGATTGGTTATTTTGTCACTAATCTTCTCACTAAGCCGGTATAAGGTAGGAAAATCTCAAAATCGTCTCGAAAGTTAGTGTAAAAATTAGTCGGCTGAAACTTATAATAAATTCTGATTCGACTTGAGAAAAACTTCTTAATAATTTTTCTGGATATGCCTATTAAGGGTGCAGGAGTCAATCAGCGATCGAAATCGACTACAAGCTGCTGTTTTTTTTTTGTTTTTCCCCCCTCTCTCTCTTGTGAAAATACTCCAGTTGGAAAAGAAGCTTATATTTGTAATACTAGAATTTTAACCCTTTTATTGGGACCAAAAGTCCCGCGTAATTTCTTTGGCATATGGTTGAAAGTTACTTCCAGGATCAACACTAATTGCCCCTTACTAATAAATACGAATGACGCGTTGAGCAGTTAGACCAACTCTAGGTAAACTACCCAACAAGACTTTCTTTAAAGAGAAACAAGTCATACTGCTCGACAAAATGACTCTAGAGCTCGATCTTTGAGTGGCATCACCTAAATTTTGTATTGGTACCAGCCCTACAGTCGCAGGGCTAGACACCAAACCGGACGTGGCGCATGGCTGGTACCAATCCAAAATCAAGATGACGTCATATGTCCTACTACTCTAGGCATGAGCACTAAACCGTTTTGTCCGTGTGCTAACGAGGAAAAATAGAGTCCCGTAGAAACTTCAGCCTCGTCGGTTTGAATGATTTTGACTGCTCACTGAAAAAAAAAAATTCCGGCCGTGGGAGTCGCAATTACGGGTTATATAGGCATACCGTCCGTTCCGGGCTCAAAGGCCGAAAATCCCGCCTGCTGGAGGCGTAGCTTTGATTGCTCTGGGTTCAGAGGCCGAAGCTACGGCTCCAGCAGCCGGAATTTTCGACCTTTGAGACCTTTGAAACGGACGGTATGTCTATATAGCCCGTAATTGCGGCTCTCACGGCCGGAGTTTTTTTTTTCAGAGTAGCTTGGGATCTTACTGATATTATGTCACTAAGATACTGACTGAACTTAGGTTTCTTACCTAAAATTGTGCAAGCTTCGTTCGAAAGGAAGGTTCCTTTCTTCGTACCATTCGTCTCGTTCTGGAGAATCGTGAGACAAATGAAAGCCACGAGGAGGGCCGCAATGTGACTCATGAGGGTCTTCCCATGGAGACTCCCATGCAAGAAAGGGATACACATGTACACCAAGAACGTGAGCAACAAACACACGCAGGACATGATCATAAGCACAAAAATCCCGATATACAGCGGCGAGGTCACCAGCCAAGAACTCGTCTCGGCGAGGAAATACTCCCCGAAACACACGAAGGCGTGCGTCCCATTCAGCTCGTCCGAGTGAGAAACCACGTGCTCGACACAATACCTCTCCGAAGGCACCACCTGGGAACTATACGGCAGGAACAGACTATCATTCAGGAGCAGGAAATTCTGATCCGCGTCGTCCTCGTAAGGGTTCAAGGGGTACTTCTGGCACCCCAGGCCGTAGCTGAACGCCGGCCTCGCACTAGGCACCGGGATCGGCATCCTGTCTCTCCCGTGCACTTTGTGGAGTTGCAGATCCGCCACGTGCTGCGAGGGCTCGCAACGAGCTCCGAACAACGATTCGCCATCGCGGCAACATTTCCGAACGCACGGCTTCCGATTGAGCTGACAGACGACTCTGTAGTCCTGGCACGTCCGTACCACAACACTCTCGCTATCGTCAGCGAGGTCCACACACATGCTCTCCGGAACGATGAGAGTGGGGTGGGCGGCTCCGAGAGGGTGGACCAAGAGGGAGCCGCTGTCCTGGAACCAGACTCTGGTCCGCGGAACGACCAGGTCGACCAAGACGTCGCCGGTCGCGCACTCCGGCGGCCCGAAGCTCAAGTCCGCGAACCCGGAGGTGAAGTTGGAGAACACGACCCGGAGAAGCTCGGAGGTGGCGGTGGGGCTGTGGAGCCCTGCCCAGCATGTCTGCCGCGCGGTGTTGTAGCGACGGAACTGGGGGCAGCACTTCTTGAGGGTGTCGACGCGCGGGGCGGGGGTGATGTAGTTGGGGAGCTGGGCGCAGTGGAGGCCCACGGGGGTGTCGCCGGCGACGTCGACGCACGTCACGAAGTACTTCTCGGAGAGGTCGACGAGCTCCGGGTCCGGGCAGGTTGGTGGGATGCCGTAGACGACGGCGTGCGAGGCGAAGAAGTGCGAGAAGAGTTGGTGCCCGGTGGCCGGCACGCACTCGACGGAGGTGGCGTTGAGGAGCCGGAGTTTTTGGTCCTGGTGACAGCACTTGCGCGCGATGAGCCCGAGGGCCGGGACTAGGAGGAAGACGAGAGCGCAGGCCGCGCCGAGGCGCCGCATCGTGGTCGACTGGAAGAGCCGTGGCCCGCGACCCGACGTCGACGCCGACGGCGCGCCGCGCCGGAGGAAGTGGACCGCGCCAGGTGATGACAACGTCGCGCCACGCCGCACAAAGGTACGCGACTCGGATTAGGTTGGCAATCATCGATTTGCAGAAAAAATTACTGCGAGTTTGTGAGCAAACCTAATTTCTTAGGAGTCATTTGGTGGGGGCGCCTTTTTTGAAGCGTACACTGGAATAAAAAAGAATCTTAAATTTGCCGCCAAGAAGTATTTCCTCTTAAATCAAGAATTTTGCTGGTTAATATGAGCTACTTTTTTGCTTAACCCAAGCATTATTTTTCTTGAATCAAGAACAAGTCAAGCTTAAAGCGCAAGATAAAGGAAATTCTTGGCGGCAAATTCAAGAATTATCATGCTTGATCCAAGCTACTTTTTTTTCAGTGTAGAAGTTTTGCTTATTGTGAATGGTTTGCAGACTTTCAAATTAATTTTCGTGTCGAGGTAGGTAAATTTTCATTGATATTGAATATTGATCACTTGATAAATAAGTTCAATGATGCAAGTGGTATTTTTCTGTTATAAAATTGAGTAAAAATATGATTTCCTTACATCATCTTCAAGGATTGCCACTGGGGAAATTCCTTTCTTCTCATCGCGAAAATAGCTGGATAAAATTATTTAATCATCATTTTTATACCTACGGCATTCCTGTTGAGATTATTCAATGGTGCAACTGCCGACACGAAACCACCAATGCTCCAGTAAAAACAAGGAAAACGTGCGCAACTTATCAATCGACTCTATTCTAACTATCTGCGAGGTACCAAGCTCATGGTTAGTTTGTAAAAATACAACTATTGCAGATCTTGTCTGCCCCTGTTTGCCAATCTCATATAAAATGGAGGCAAACTAATTTTACTGGAGATTGTTAAAAGAGCATTATTTATGAATAACTTTCACAAAATGGAAAGTAACAAATATAGTAAATACCTCCATTGCTACTCCCAAGTGTCAGTTTGCCTATTTGGTGACAGAAATGAAGAAGAGAGAAAAAAACGGAATTATGACTTCTTCTCAAGCTGAATCCAGACGACGAACCATGGTGCGGCGAACAACGGCCGCCCTGGCTGCGATCATGTTTCACCCCACCGGACCACCTGCCCCACGACTACTGCCATGCCGCGACGCATTTACGCCGGTGTCGATACTTGGGTAGGCGCGGGTGGGATTTCGGAACGGATAGGGTGGAGATTAAGATAAATTTCAATCGGGGGAAGATTGACTGGCTCACCCTTGTTTTTACCCCGTTGTTTTGTCGGGGATTATTAGCATATTTGGGCGCATACGCTCGGGAGGGTATTGACGAATGGTCGGTTGAGGTTGTCATGGTTTTATGAAGGCACGGAAGCAGTCAAGGTGCGGAAGGGGAGGTGATAGTTTTCCCTCTACCACTTCTTATCTGCCGTGCCGAGGAAAAACGCCGTATGAACATTCGAGAGTTGCCAAAGTTAAACACGTGTCTCTGAGGAAAGTTATTCGTGTATTTCCTTGAAATTTTCGGGTGTTTTAAGTCAAATTGCGATATAACTTTCTGAAAATTTTGAAGAGAAATATTGAAAAATTTTCCGGTAAAATTGGTCTTTCGTTCATGAAAATCTGGCGACGTCTAAAGGCTCACACGGCGTTTTTCCTTGGCACGGCAGCTATCTTCCTTTTCTCTCATAATTTTCATATGAGAACGCACGAGTGCAAACAAGCCCACCTCTATTCTGAAATGTTTGCGAAAGTTGAAAGGTAATGACACGGAGGGATTATTTCACTTTAAGATTCTCTATCGATCAAGAAAACTTCTTGATATCACCTAAGAAATTCTTAAAATTTATAGAATCTATCAAAAAATCATGTCAAAAATATCAGGATCATTTTGCCTTAGAAAGAGTTTTTTTTTTTTTTGCCTCGTAAATTTAAAGAAAAAGAAAAAGAAAAATAATCAGGTCAAAAGCAGAGGAGAAAAGTTTGTTTAATAATTGACAATATAATTTTGGCTTTATTTTTTAATTTTATTTCAATTAAAAAAATACAATTCACTCCAAAACTATCATGACACCCCATTTTTTTGCAACTCATAATGAAGTCTCAATTTTTTAAAACAGCTTACACTAATACATTACACAGATTTCCTCTCCTTGTCAAATTCCATGGCCATGAGCTGTTTTATTTTCTCGTCCGTGATTTCGTAATCCTGAAAAAAATTAAGCAACTTTATACGTTTTGTAGGTATACCGTTAGGTGGAACCGTATACCGTCACGTGGAAAGGGGTCTGGCGCATATGCATAGCGCCTGTGGTGTCCTAAAATTAGCGGCTTTTCTGGTGAAAAAATGAACTAATAAATAAAAAACCACCATGGTTACGAATTGCAAACATAGACCACCTCTCAGCTTCAGAGGACTAACGCGTGGTTCAGGGCCCCTTAATGATTTTTTGATTAGTCTCTTTTCCACAATAATATTCCATTTTAGTTTGCGGTTTCAGTTCTGTATTTCTTCACCCGTGTTAAAATATTTACTTCAGACAAAGAGGGTTATTCAAAATCGGCGATTTTACCCTACGCTTGGATTTTGCCCGGAGTTGGATATGTTGTTCCCTATCACAAGACACGCCTTTTTCCGGCATTGGCAAGTTCACCCGAAATTTTTCCCGCGCGCTACAGCGTTGCCAAGTTGAAAACAGGCAAATTCCGTAAGTGGCATCAAAATTGAGCTATGAAGTTGCGGTTTTAACGAAAATTCTCTAAAAATTACGCACTTTTAGGATATGACCATGTTTTTAATGTCGCATTAATTTTAACATGCATTATTGCCAAATTTCCGATTTTTAAATTCGACAAATGCTACATATTCGCAAATACCCAAAAAAGCTATCTTCAAATTTGAATAAAAAGTTGTCTAATCGATAGTTCGTTTGATTCCGCATCCATCGATATATTATAGCTCGCTGAGAAACTTTTGGTTCGCGAGATATCATCATTTTTGTGAACAGCTTTATGGAGCGACGACGCTTTTTGAGTCCGGGCGGATAGAAATTTTAGCCTCCAAAAACACCGGGTAGCATTAATTCCATGGTTTCCTATGTAATTTTTGGCGCTGAATCCGAATTTGACCATTTCATAAAAAAATTGTCACCAGGATGTTGCCAAATTTGGCAAAAATTGCTTAAAATCGGCCTTTTTGGCGGATTGTAGCCTGTGACTTGCCAGGAGTTGATCAGACGACAAAATTGGTTATTTCCACAGTTAAAACTCGTTAAACTATCTACAAGCTGAGTCAAATTCTTTCTGCTCACGGTAAAATTAAACGCGCGACAAGCAGCAAACTGAAAAAAAGACACCAAAATTGGCGCTTTTTGCGGTTTTTGTCGTAAGTTTCTTGTTTTCCGATTAAGAGAATGTTTCTTGACTATACTAATGAACAACATGAGCAGAATTTAATAAAATTGAACAATAAAATAAGATCGAACATATTCCAATGTTGCCAAGCTTAAACAAAATACTTTAATTTTCGCTGGTTTTTTTGATATTATTGTCCTATATTCTTTGTTCACCTCTTATTTTTAAATTTTATAAATGTATCTCTCTTGCAAAATAATACACTTCTGTAGAATAATTTAATTTTCAACTTAGATATATACTAATAACTAGGGTATTTAGTTCAGAGAGGAAAAATTCATAAAATAGTGAGTTTTATCGAATCGTGTCAATAAACCACATTTTGAAACAATAATGGAAAATTTTCTGTTAAAAATTAATGAATAAAATGTACTCCTCAGACAGACTTCATTGAAACAAGACAAGACACATTGCAATATTGCCAAAATTACGTACAAATCGTTGAATTTTGGCGGTATTTGACCGTTATTATTCATTACCCTATATTTAGAATACAATTTTATTTTATAATTCTGAGATAATGGAGTTTAATAGAAAAAAGTAACGACACCAAACTGAAGAAGACGCCCAGGAAAGGACAATAAGGGGCTTAAAAAGGAACAAGGGCGCTCTAAATTACTGAGGACCTGTGGGTGGACAAGGGACTATGGCGGTTAGGTGTCGCGGGGCCCGAGAGACCGCTGTTAAAGCGGCTCTTTATCTATATATGTAACAATACAATAGTTTGTCGTTACACTCGGCGTAATTAGGATTTTCCTAAGAAACATTCTCTTAATCGGAAAACAAGAAACTTACGACAAAAACCGCAAAAAGCGCCAATTTTGGTGTCTTTTTTTCAGTTTGCTGCTTGTCGCGCGTTTAATTTTACCGTGAGCAGAAAGAATTTGACTCAGCTTGTAGATAGTTTAACGAGTTTTAACTGTGGAAATAACCAATTTTGTCGTCTGATCAACTCCTGGCAAGTCACAGGCTACAATCCGCCAAAAAGGCCGATTTTAAGCAATTTTTGCCAAATTTGGCAACATCCTGGTGACAATTTTTTTATGAAATGGTCAAATTCGGATTCAGCGCCAAAAATTACATAGGAAACCATGGAATTAATGCTACCCGGTGTTTTTGGAGGCTAAAATTTCTATCCGCCCGGACTCAAAAAGCGTCGTCGCTCCATAAAGCTGTTCACAAAAATGATGATATCTCGCGAACCAAAAGTTTCTCAGCGAGCTATAATATATCGATGGATGCGGAATCAAACGAACTATCGATTAGACAACTTTTTATTCAAATTTGAAGATAGCTTTTTTGGGTATTTGCGAATATGTAGCATTTGTCGAATTTAAAAATCGGAAATTTGGCAATAATGCATGTTAAAATTAATGCGACATTAAAAACATGGTCATATCCTAAAAGTGCGTAATTTTTAGAGAATTTTCGTTAAAACCGCAACTTCATAGCTCAATTTTGATGCCACTTACGGAATTTGCCTGTTTTCAACTTGGCAACGCTGTAGCGCGCGGGAAAAATTTCGGGTGAACTTGCCAATGCCGGAAAAAGGCGTGTCTTGTGATAGGGAACAACATATCCAACTCCGGGCAAAATCCAAGCGTAGGGTAAAATCGCCGATTTTGAATAACCCTCTTTAATCCCAGAGTATAAAACCAGAAGCTCTTCGCTTGTACTAAAAATTGTCAAAGAGGTGGATGAAAGGAAAGTACACTCACCCAAATACACGTTTATCATTGAACGTATCCCTCTCTGTTTTACACTTCCTTTCTAAAAACTTTTTCAAGAACAGTTCATGCTATAAAAAGAAAGTAATTAAGTACTATTTGTCAGTTTCAACAGGAGGAAAAGAAAATATGAAAAATATACATAGTGAATAGGATGTTATACTAACCTCTAGGTTGTACTTTAAGAAAGCTCCATTTGTTTCTTCCTTATCAAAACTTTTTAGGTACTGTCCTCTAAACCAAAGCACAAGTTCTAAATGATTTTTGTGTTTAGATCCTAATTCTAAGGCTCTGGAAAACAAATAAAATAATTTGAATAAGAATTGTCTCAATTAGTAAAATTTCTAACAAATTTTATCAGTGAAAACTTAGGTACGATTGACGAAAAGATGTAAATACATTCTGTTTAAATTATACAGAAAACTTCCGTTTGTTCACATTGTGAGGCAATTTGGGTAGCATATAAGTTTAAGTTTAAACCATGCATGGTCCGGTGTGTTATATCTGAATTTTTATTTCCATTACTTTACGCTTAATATTTGGCAGTGAATTACATACGATATTTGGAAAAATACTTAGAGGGCACATAATTTTTAACCTTTAAGTAAACACTTGTGAATGCAAGTTGAAAACGAACATTCTTTACTGTAAATTTTACAAAGTTGCATTCAAAAACACTTGGAAGAAATATATGGATGAGTGATTTCAATTTTATTTTCACTGATTTTTTTGGCAAAACCACTGTTTCCATGAGGTAAAAGAGAGCATACCTATTCCAATTATAAATTTGTATATTCATTAGCACCGCTCGAAAAACAAATCCATTTTGCAGCAGGATCGCTTCTGCCTCTTGTGAATTCCCACTCAGTAAAGTCATCTCAGAGAGTTGCACAGTTTGGTTCGGTATACTCTGAAATTCAAATTAAGAAGGTCAGAGAACGCGAACCACGTAGGTAAAAAGTTACAGTTTAAGGTAAACTGTATTCGCTACAGTAGAGTATTGTCAAGTTTGTAAATGTTCGTACGATGAATGATAGCAGTGTATTTAACACTGTTTATTACCAGCATATTTTACCAGTTTAACACTGTTGTTTCATGTCCCTTCATAAATTATTTAAGTGACTCAGCGAGATATATCTGTAAAATGAAAATCTCTTCCAGGCGATGTTTTTAAATTAGTGGTATGAAATAAAATACCGATTTCATTAAGAAGAAAAAAATTAATTAAAAGCTAAACTTTAAGTGTAGACAAATGGAAATCGTTCTATCAGCGATCTGGCACGCCGCGCATTGCTGTTAACGTATATTAGTGTGCCTGAAATATTTTGCATATGCAACACAGATAACAGAAGAGCAATATTAGTTGCATGCTAACCGCCTATCAATTGCGCTTTTGCGTCATCGTCGACTAAAATAGCTAATGGGTATACTCGTATCTTCTGCTATCTCCGTCCTTACGTAAACAAAACCCTCATTCGCACCTATTGATCACACGCCGACAATTATTACTAAAAATCTGATGCATCCTCTTGGATCGCGTATAAAATCAACGGACACTCAAAAATGAGAGCCTTCACAAGACAGTAAATACTCAAACAAAAAATTAAGAAGAAAATGCAAAAAAAAGGTGTACCTCGAGGAAATTATACACATATAGTATGGTAATTGTGGTTGAACGCCACAGGATGCCCTTTCAAAGCCTTGACATTGCCGCTTGGACCCTGTGCCTCATCTCAAAGCTGCAAGGATACATTCCATGTTTCCGAAAAGCTCAACAGTCGTCTGATAAGTCCAACGGAAGGTCATATAAAAACAGACACCCGTTTGACTTAATTATTTCAATCTGTTCCTGATAAGTGACGCGCTCAGTTGCGCACATCACGTATGATCAACGACTTTGTCATAAAACTGCTCAACAGTGTGAACTGAATACCACTTATAGTGATTATGTATGACCCTCCCCTACCTTGTCCATTCCAAAGGATAGACGCGATCAGTATAGCTTACTGAAATGGCAGTCATCCGCACACCTATTAGAAGACGCGTTTTCGAGTGTTCGAGCTCTGGACCGCACAGCGCTGACAGTGAACCGCCTTCACTTAACCATTGCGCTATGCAGATGCACTGAGGCTGGATAGCGGGTGAGTAAGTTAATTATAAGGAAACAAATGGAACAAAAATAAAAGTAAGCAAGGTAGCAAATAATAAAAATATATGAAATAAATAAAATAATCAAAACGAATGAAATATTTTTTTTTTTTTTTTTTTTTTTTTTTTTTAAGTTTCAAGATGGCACTTCGAGTTGATGCATGTTTTGCAGAAGCATGTCTTAATTGTTGTAGTTCTCAGATTACCAAAAATTAATAAGGTGAGTCCAGCTTAATCTTACTTCAAAACGTAAAACCATAAGAGTGACGCGTAACGCATATGCCCAAGGTGTGAAGCGCTTCGAGGGGTTAAGCCACGAAGCGGTCAGGGTGTGCAGGCCCCTAGTATTTTAAAATTCAATAATACCAGAAGTAACGCCCTCTAAAATACTTGGTATATGATGTCATACACTGCAGTAGCACAAACATTAATACTCGTACACATACATACTCATACATTAACTCATCCCACATGATCCATCGAACGCGAATAGTCGGCACGCCATCGCGCCTTCAATTTTGCAGATGCAACACGGACATCCATCAAGTACGAATAGTTGTATCTCTGCGCCGTCATCAACACGCCTCCTTTCCCTCGCCTTATTTCCATATTGTGTTATTGTGTCAATGGTGCTACAAGGGCATCGCGAGCAACACAGCCGGAGACAGGAAAGGTGTAATCGGGTCTCGTTTTTTAAAATTTGTCCCCAAATATAAGTGGCACCTCATTGGCAGCATAGATGCAATTTCAAGCCTCGCGCCGTCGCGCCTTCAATTTTACAGCTGCAATACGGACATCCTACAAGCACGAATAGTTTTATCTCTGTTCTTGTCATTAACGCGCGTTGAGGAGTCTCTTATTTTTGAAAGTTAAGAAAGGTAAAAGTCAAGTCTGCTCGAAGTATGCCACAATGTATCCATATCAATAACCATTCAGATAATAATAAAGTTTAATAATTTAAATAACCTAGATAATACTTTAAAAACTACAAAAATCAGTTTATTTAAATATGTGTCAATTTGACTCTACGTGAGACTTTGCGTATAAAAATAATATTGGGAATTTAAGGGTTGAAGGAACAAAAAGTGAAATAAAATAACACAACGTCTGATATAGTTGGACTCATTTTAGTTAAATCTGCCCATATATATTTTCATTTTATTATTGATCTGAAGTAAAATACCATTCTCAATCCAGTCAACACAGGTGCAGTCATCCGTCATAGAACAACGTCTCGTTAGGGTCTTGTTAGGGCAAATTGGAGTTGGTTTGAAGTTTTTGTGTTCATCACTCAGAATATAATAGCCACTGCTATATTGATCACATCTTTTATTTTCATCTGTCTTTTGCGCCACACATCACACATCACCACTCCTCTACCGCCCTGTCAATTTCTCTTGCTGGTGTCATCACCATGTCGCACTATCTTGTCTTCTTCCTTCCTTTATTCCCGCTGGTATGGAGTAAGGGGGGGGGGGTCACATAGAGGTGGGTTTGATCCCTCTATTCCCGCTATTCTGTGCGAAGTGATGTGTCCTATACTTATGATATTTTAAGGAGTTGCGCTCTTCCTGATATTTTTTAAGAACACAGTGTCATCTTCCTCATAATTTTAATTATTTATCTCTAATTTAAATAATCTAGAGTATTTAATTTAAATAAGGGGAGAGCTTAGCGAGAGGGGAATAAGCTACCTGAAATCAAAACTGTGAAAAATGGGGTTGAAATTTCATCCCCCCCGTGAATCTCGATGTACAAAAATAAACTTTAAATTAACTTTGTGCACTGAATGGTTAGTGTTAAGCAAACGAATCATTTTACACAGAGTCCATTTTTTAATCGGAATATGTGGGTTTGCTGTGATTGCTTGGAGGTTGAGTTTCAAATAACTCTACACAAGGAGCCATGCATGATGGAATAATGGAATTAAAATAGCCCCTCGGGTCATACCCACGGGAACATTAAAGAGCAGTTGAGTGGCTCTGGAGATTTTCGGTTGTTCCCGGCTGATGACGTCTTAGAAGCAACCATAAATGACGTTATCGGGTAAACTGTTTGTAACATCATTGACCACCTGTTGACGACGTCATCGAAACACGGGCTCATGCTAACGTCGTATCTTAAGTAAAATTCTAATCATCACAATTTAGATTAACATTTTCGTTTGATTTATAAAATGCTCCAGCGGGCCGATTATTGAAATCGATAAACGAAGCAATAGATAAAGAAGACATAAGGAACATGGAGCGATCTTATCGGTTGAAATGGGACGTGGGTTGCCGTTAGTTAGTCTATAATCAGAGACAGAGACCCTCCACGGGCCTCTTGGCGACAGGTGGAAGCTTTTATTTTCGGGGATTCAACACCTCTTTATGGACAGTTATAAGGGAGCAACAGTCATCACTCTTTTTTGAGCTGTTGACCTACCTACATGGTCGGTGGATGATGAGCTTCGGGTGACGTCATGAGCCAAACAAGTTTCCCAAACTTTGGCTTGTTTTGGCTTTTTTGCAAAACGAAACTGTCAACACGTTGTTAAAGATCAACCATTTAGGTAAGTCAACAGTCAATTAATTGTTGAAGGCTCGAAAGTAAAAGCTTCCACAAAAGCCGAGGTACGAGTGGAGGGTCTCTGTCTGTAATACCTATTTCTTTGATCTATTGCAACCACTCGCTTCCACTAATACGATCCCTCCATATCCATTCCGTCCTCTTTGTCTACAGCTTTGTCTATCAATTTCAATAATTGGCCCGCAGCAGATATTACACAAAATTGTTTGATGATGTTACTTGGTTCCTCTTTGCTGAACCGTCAATTTCCGGCGAGGCGAAGGGAGCTCGTTACCTTGACATACTGGAGGAAGAAGACTTTATCGGCCTGATCGATGGCGGCGTAGGCCTCCTCTGCGACGTTGAGCTGTCGGGCGTGGACGGCCATGGTGGCCAGACATGCCCAGACGGTGTCGTCGGCGGCGATTCGACATAGTCGCAGGGCGTCGTCCCAGCTCCCGGTGGCCGCGTGACTGTGCAACATCGAGATGAACGGGGTGACCGCGCTGAAGACCAGGGCTCCGTCGTAGCGCCGCACCCCGATGTGCCCCCGGATGAAACTCTCCAGTCGGGGATTCCGACCGAATTCACTGTGTTCAAAAAAAAAACGGACTATTATTAGTCGACTAACGGGGGAAATGAACAGATGGGAGAGTTGAACCAAAATCTCCCTGACTGCATTTCTCGAAGCCTAATTTCCTTTTACGTTCTATACGTGACGCATACATTAAAAATTTCCTTTCTGTAAAATTTCCCTCAATTATGAAGAATATCGACGGTGCAAGTTGGCAATCACATAACTCGGTTTGCGACGTCGCAGACTTCCTGTCATACTTTATTTTTTAAATGGAAAACTACTCAACGGCAATTCTTTAAAACTGTCATGATTTTTCTTCTCAATGCGAAGAAAATTCTGCAAAAACTTCAAGAAATAATGTCAATTTGCTCTCCTTTAAAGAAATGACGTAGAGGCGGAGATTTTCAGACACCGCAAACGAGTTATGTGATTGCCGACTTTCACCGTCGATATATACTCCATACGCGGATCCAAAGTGGGAGGTGTAGAGGTGTAAGTAGTGTTCTGCCCTTCCCGGGCTCCAGGCGCCTAATGCGCCTAAAAATCGGACCTTGCCGCCTAAAAATTGGAGGAGCAGGACCGTCGTGGCGCCTAAAAAATTCGAGAGATTGAACTCGCATGGCATATTTTCTTAGAACATCCTATAGTGTTTGGCCTGATATACACTGCAACTCCGCATTCATGCCTTCCGCAAAAATTTCATTCGCCATGGCCCGTATGCAAAAATGTAATTTGGCTCAAAAAAATAGTAGATGGCTCCTAAAAATTAGGCTTTCTGGCCAAGGTGGATCCTAAAGTTTTAGGGGAAAGGCAGAACACTGGGTGTAAGCTCTCAACCCGTTCACCCGAAAAATCGGAAGAAGAAAAGGGGAGAAAGAAAGGTGGAAGGAATGGAGGAAATAGGAAGTGAAACGCTTATAATTGGCAATTATTCATGACGAAATTGACTCGACTGGATTTCAGATGCTTTAAAATTTCAAAAAAAATTGGGGGAAGCTTCCCCTCCCCCTCTTTGTTAAGTGTTTGTATGTAGAGCATCAGATTATGGAGGTCGAAGATGACATCGTGTTTGAAACAGCTTGGTAATTACCAAAAAACATACCCGGCGTCTTTCATGACCACAGTCCTGCGAAGTAAACGAGGATCAATAAAAAGCACCGCAGGAAAGTACCAGACAGTGAGAGTGGTATCTTGTATTCCGCACAACATGTTGACATCACTATTCCAAAGAATACTCTCAACCATCAGACCTGGAATTGAAGACACGTCCCGTTAATAAGTGTAAAATCAATTCGTTCTATAGACCAACGGATTGATCGTTGAAATGAATAGACAAAGATATGGACAAAAAAGACAAGAAGGATACAGAGAGATCCCATTGGTGGAAACGGGTGGTTGCAATAGACGTAGGAGGTAGGTTCGGTAGACTAACTAACGGCAACCCACGAGAAACCCTATGTTTAATCCATCATTTATCCCTTTAGTCTGTAGGAACTACCCATTTCAAACGATAGAATCGCTCCACACTCCCTATGCCTTAATTTTTTATAGCTTTGTCTATCAATTTCAACAATCAGCCCGCTGATGATTAAGATCATTTAAAGTTGGTCATCCAATTGCTTTTACGCTTCGACTTTGGCTACTTGGAAGAATTTCTATTCAAAATCATGGTACTTTTCAAATATCCAAAACATCTGTAGGGCAAATGATATTTTCCACGCCTTTGGAGTATCAAATAACCAGCACACTGACAATGTTCGTAAATGTATTTTAGACAATGTACTTTTCTTCGTGAGAATTGAGAGGTTGTAGATTTAGCACATTAAGTCGGAATGCACCAGTACCTATGCGATTTTTAAATATTTTTGGCCAGATTAGGTGATTATACTCGTCACGAAAAAAAACCACCAATAAACTAGTGCTTAGGCAATTAGCATTTGGCTGAAGATAAAATTCAACATCAAGACTTCACTTTCAGTACAGCATTATCAATGGATAAGTTTCGATTTTTTCAAATAATGTTATGAATTTTTCGCTACTTTATTGCTAACAAATTTTGAGGATCATTAATACTGGAAAGACTACAAATAATTTTATCGTGATGTATTCTTTCGGCTACAATTGCTGTTGGAATTCGAAAAAATTCCAATTCTTTTTTTACACTGATAATGCCAAAAATCAGTATCCATGAAGTTGCGAAACACTTGATGATTAGAATTATCCGGAAAATATCGCAATTTCAAGCTCCGATAATATAGCAATAAACTGTGTCAATGAAAACGTAGTAGCCTACCTATCGAATTACACTCTTCGCGATCAACTTGTTGGGAGCTCATTTTGCTACGCGGCAGTTAAAAGATAGTGGTAAAGTCCGAAAAATCTTACCCAATTTATCAACTTTGTAAGACACATTCCCTTTGGCAGTTACTGACGCCAAGAAAAGGTCTCTATTCTTATCGATGAAAGCAAGGTGTCGATCCGTTAGAGAACCAGCTTGGTTTAAAGCTAAGTCGGTAACTTCAACACTATGAAGTAAAGGGGCTCCTGCTGTCGTCGAACCAATCTCTAACAAATGAATCACTATAAATTGAAAACATAGTAATTATAAAACAGTGACTGTTTTGAAGAAGAAGAAAAGAACAGTTGTTGCAGGAACAAATATTGATGATCAATCATTTTCATAAGCATCAATTTTCTCTGAGGAAGTAGCAAACCATGTGTATTGATAATTAATAATGCGGAAATTGAACGGGTAATTCCACTGGACTTTTAGTCGCAGTCGTGCAATAAATTTGGTGCGCATATTCTTTTCAATATCATTACTGCAAGATTTCCGATGAATTTGACAACCTCGACAGCGAAATCAGCTCTACAATTAAAAGTGAGAATATGAAAAAAGACTGCAAGAGTTTCAGTTGATTCAACAGTTACTGAAAGACTTGCTTTGGTAGTAGTTTGAAATTTATAAAATTAGTAACTTTGAGCTCCTAATCAACGGTTTATATCAGGAATCACAGGATTGAATTGTAAAAATTCATTCTGAACATTGTAGACAAATTTTAGTCTCAACTTCTCAGAGAATAAAATTTATATTCGTTCCGAGGGACCCTGGTAAAAATTGGCAGTAAAATCTGTGTTCCAAAATACCATAGACCTTAAGCCGGCTGTAAGATTTCTAATAGCTTCTGTAGCCGACTGTACAATTTTGTATAGCCTTTTACAGCCGTTGGTGATTAAGCAACAGCAGCCAGACGATAAAGATTATGCCAAACGTTACTAAATACGGATACTAGGACTCAGTGAGTTTTTGGACTACCGCTCTCTTTTTGGGCCGTAGCATCTTGATATATTTTGCGAGGAAAGCTCCGTACTTTTTAAGGATGCCTGTCATTCCTCATATGTTGGAGCGCCTTCAATTTCTTATGATACTGCGCGATGCCTCTGGTGTGAAATAGTTGCTTCAGACGCCGTGGCACGCTGCGGCGCGGCGCGGCGGGCGGGTAGAGAGCGCGAAACGCTCATTGGCGCCTACAAACCTAACAGGGATACTTCACGCATTGCGCAATGCGTGAAGTATCCCTGTTAGGTTTGTAGGCGCCAGTGCGTCGCCGCTCCGCTTTGTGTTAGGCTCCAATATTTAATCTCGCGGAGTCAGCGTTTTTCAACTAACTCATGATTTTGAAATGTTCGCGCACTCTGTATGGACTATTCTCATTTTAACTGATGAAAAAAAAATATGTTTTAAAGGAAAATATAATGTGTGTTTTGTAAATATTAAGGTAGTTCCGTATCAAACTTAATGATTTCCAAAGCACACGAATTTCTACACAATTTCTTATAGCCTTTTATAGCCAATGGCGATAAAGTGCAAAGCCCGGCGATAGGAACTATAGCCCGACTGTATACTTTTTTATAGCTTCGTATAGCCCAGCTATATGATTTGCTCCGCTTTCTACAGCCAGCTATATGATTTTCAATAGCCCTTTTTAGTCGGCTATAAGAACTCCTATGGTATTTTGAAACGCAGCCCCTATCGCTAATTTTTACCAGGGGATATAGATATAACGAAGCTTACTTTTTTCATCAGTGTGATCGCGAACTGCTACAGTTTCTGGACTTAAAGATATGTTTGCAGAATTCAGTTGCTCGTTCTGTACATTTGGCCACTTTGGAGTTGCTACCAGTCTTCCATCATAACTATAAATACTTATCACAGATTTTTCGACCAAGAGAAAATTCCTGTAGAGAAATCACGTCCGCATTACAATCATTGTTATTATTTTATTGCGTCTCTTTTCTGCAGCCTAAGGGAAACTGACCCAACTCTCAATCTTATTATTTTTACGAGGAACACCCATGTTAGACGTCAGTACATCGTAAGTGCTACAGTAAGTCGTATGCTAATGATTGAAGGAAGAAATATACTTATATAATTACATGACTGAATGATTTGGAAGAAGCAGTTGTTTTCAATATTAAGTCATCAATTAGTAATTAATTACAGACGATTTTTAAAAATATATTTGAAAGTTAACTGACTGCTATACTGGCCCTCAAGTCTCCTCATATGTTTCAATGAATCACTATACTTACAAGATGCAAATTTAAGCTTTCTGATAAATGTTTCCTTTTCAAAATTTCTTCCCAAAAAATCTTTTTCTTCATTAAAACGCTTTTTCTTAACGGCATTTAAAGCATGTTTTCAAAAAATCAAACGGAAATGAAATATGCCCTAAAATCTCCTTCTGATACAAATGAATATAAGGAGGATCTGATCAAAAAGTAAAAAAAACCCGCTGATATAACGCAATCTAAATTAGGTCGAACTATAATAATACGAATTAAAAATTAATTAATACTATTTTAAAATAAAACATTTGGGATAACAATATTAGGCTATAGTTTGGCATATGAAAACGAAATAAACCAACTTTTTGTATACGGCGATTGGTAATGGATGTGAGTTAATTACGCTAAATTTGCCGCTGACCATCCCTTCGTCCAAAGTAAATATACGACTTAATGGACGGAAAAATCAATAATGATGATAAGATTTACCTGTTAGCTTGAAGGATCAACGAGACAGACCCCTCTTTCAATTGGAAGGCAAAAGGTGTATTCAAGTGATCAACCCGGTAAATTTGACAGTGTGAAAGAGTAATGACGATGAGATAACCATAGTTGAGAGACATGCAAACAACGCGTTCAGAAAACTCTAATTTTTCAGGGACATCTTGGGTTGCATCTTTGAATCTAATCACTTTTCGGCTTATTGTGACCGCTTCGTAGTTGAGCCATTCCACTCTTCTATATAACATAAAAGATCACATGGACGGGAAAGTATGTATATATCCGGCAGAATTTTATAATATCATTTATAATACAATACAATAATAGCTTTGGACCATAGAGAAAGATAAATGTAGCTTGTGCATGCTGGAATACCTTCTTAAATCCTACATTTGTATTTTACTCATGAACAGTGATAGGTCTGCGAAACGCCTTCAATAAATTCGGACCGCAAACAATACACTGTTGAGATACGTGTTGCGTACTCTCTGAAATGCAGGCGCTACAGCGACTTGTAAAACATCGAGCTTACCTTACACTTTCATGGAAATATACTGTAGGAAGTAGGCACGTAGTGTAATTTTTCTCGTAATTTGTATGTTCATTTACTCATTGACATAGTGAATCATAAAAATCGAGCTAAAAGTCAAATATTTATTATTTGGATTTTAGCTCGATTTTAATATCATTCATTGTGTCTTTAATAGCCTATCCAGCCAAATTTAAAAACTTATTTTAAAATTATTAAAATTTAAAAATGTAAAATTTAAAATTTAATTTATTTAAATTTTAAATTTTTTTTTTATTTTTTTTTATTTAAAATTTTAAAATTTCATTTACTATGAATAAAAAAATCATAATACCAGCCAGAAAAACAATTTACATTCTGTACTATTTAGGGACATTTGCAGTTATCAAAGGACCATAGTGTTGATTATAAGTCGGAAAGAGTAAAATTTGTCTCCATTCTGCATTATCTTGCATTTTTATGCTTTTTTTTGTTCTTTTTGAGGTCTCTCATTCTCACTAAATGTGTTCCCCATCTTTAATCTTTTCGTGACTTGAGAATTTCTTTCTGTGACTTTCTGTGAATTGACAATGCTGTCTTTGATCTGTAATTTAACATATGAGTAAAAAGCAGCTTTTACCTTTGAATTATTTGAGCCACCAACATGTCTCCATTAGCACAAGCTCCCGCTAGTTGAGTTCCATCCGTGGCCCAAGATATGTTATAGATACTTCCTACTTCCCGTTTCTCAAAGTAATGACTCCACTGCGTTTCAAGAAATCAACAAAGAAATTAGAACAAAAAAGATTAATTTAAAAAAAATCGGTTAAAAACGGAAGATTATTACTGAGAGGAGTATATGTAAATGATGTTGAAAGGGAAAATAGGACACTGTGCAAGCAAACCCATGTTTTTGTGGATATATGGACTCGCAAAGAGGCCTTTTAAATTTGGAATGTACAAAAAATATTCTTTCAATAGCCTCGGTGGATACTCTTGTGCCTATAAAATATCGTTGATATACTTGGATACTGTAAAAAATTTGGAGACACGTGTAAAGTTTTGAAAAAAAAAATTGAAAGCGTTGTTCGTATAAGACTGCGTGATTTATTAACAAGAAAAACCATCAAGCACTTACTCCTGCTTTATCACATAAACGAATTGCGTTATGAAACCCAACTGCGAACACCTCGCCATTGGAAGACCATGCTAGGGACATAACAGGATAATCTTGCACCACACTGCTGAACATTTGGCGTCCGTACACGTCCCAAATCTACAGGAAAATGACGTATTATTATTTGAAGAGTGATCAAGGAAAAAGCATTAATCACGTGATGCATTAGGAAATAAACACTGTAAAAGTATAATGCAGGCGAGCTCGATTGAGTTTCTCCGTGTACATCTAGTTAGGCAGCAGCCACCCGTCTGCACTCTGCAACTTTTTTTCTTCTTTTTTTTTCGGTGGTCAATTTTTTAGGGGGAGTTTTTTTTAGGATTGGGCCGCGGTGGCTACCGCCACCTAGAATATAAGGGGAGGGAAGAAGGAACAAAAAAAATACGAAGGACCTATTGTTTTTTTGTTATTACTGACATTGATATTTAATCTTAGTTTGTCATCAATCATCGAATATGATGATTCACAAGGATAGCTATAAGTTTTAATCTAACTTGTTGAAAGATGTAAGGAGGCAAAGTTTCCCATAAATTGTTGCGAAAGTGATTTTGCAAAATTGCGAAACTTTATGAATACAGAATACAAACCCACGGCGACTCGTCATGTAAACGTTGATTAAAATTCTCCCAATTTTACCTGACTGACAAATAGAGATGCAATTTAGACGTATGCCCTATGCATCAAAAACAATTTTAAATGTTACTACACACCTTTCATGTTACCAAATTTTACTATCATATGGAGATTTTCATTACAGGCGTGATTCTACATACAAATAACCACGTGCAGTCCTTAATTAAAAAGGCAGGACACTGCTGTCTAAAAAGATGTTTGCAAAATTTTATACGCCTTTTTTTCGTCTATTGGCGCCCCCCCCCCCCAAAAAAAAAACTTGTTTTAATGAGTGTGTGTATTCAGATCTATTTTATGTAAGTTCAATGCTATAGAACACTCAAAATATATAAACAAATTTACCTTGTATTTACAATCTTCACCCCCTGATACAATTAAACTGTTCACGGAGCTCCAAGAAACTTTTAAAATTAATCCATCATGCGCTTTCCACTGTGAATAAGATACAACAAGCAAATAAGACTTATATAATAAGTAGATTATCGTATAGTAGATTTTATGAATGTCTGATAAGTAGTTAAAACCATTCAATATCGAAGAGCGGATTTCAATTTCACAATTCACGATGACATTGAAGACGGCATCAACAAAGAAATAATTGAGGGACATTTTACTGTTCTTCAGCAAATGCAGTCAAAATTATGAATGGTTATCATAACTACCTGTTCAGTCAAGTGAGACAAAACTGATTTAAAATGTCGAATACACTGAAAAAAAGGTGCTTGGCTCAAGCATAATGATTCTTTAGTTTGCCGCCAAGAATTTTTTAATCTTGATTTAAGCTGAATGTTTCTTGATACATGATATATAATAGTCGGGTTAAGCGAGAAAGTAGTTTATACTAAGCAGCAGGGCCGGATTTACTTATATCTCTGTGTGGACAAGGCCTTCCATTCAGAACGAACAAATTATGAAAGAACAAACATAAATATAGTTTAATGATTTTAACTTCCTTCGCGCCGTCGCGCCGCGCAGCCTGCACCGTGTTTGGCGCAATGCGTGAAGTATTCCGACTGTCTTGTAGGCGCTATGCGTTTCACGCCGACCGCTGCTGAACGCACCGTGTTTGACGCAATGCGTGAAGTATTCACGCAGTCTTGTGGGTGCTAAGCGTTTCACGTTTGATGCAATACGTGAAGTATTCGTGCAGTCTTGTAGGCGCTAACATGTATTACATGCCGACCTCCGCGCCGAGGACTTCACCTTTTCATCTCAAGTCCTCGTCATCATTTCTCTTTAAGTCCAGGCCAAATTGCGTGTTTGGTTTCTCTCTTAACTCGACTAATTAAAGGTGCTGTCTCTTGTATCACTGAAAGACAACAAAATTAGAAATTACTATACTCTCAGGAAATGAGAGGTTTTGTCGCCTTTTCTCGTTTGTAATTTTTTTTTTTCAAAATCCGATTTTTTTTTTAAAAAAATCAAAATTTTCCGCCATGGGCCGCGGCCCATGTGGCTACCCCCTTAATCCGGCCCTGCTAAGCAGCAAAATTCTTGATTTAAGAAAAAATACTTCTTGGCGGCAAAATTATTTTTTTTTTTCAGTGTATTTTCAAAGGGAAATGTTGAGACATTTCTCGCTTAAAGCAACCGAAATCCACATTAGGACTTCAGAGCATTGACATGAATGAGCGTCTTGAAAAGGTAAGGATAAAAATAGGCATTTACCTTGGTTGGCTTACTGTTAGGCACGAGGGACTTGATAATCAAGGATTTGCCTTGCGTATAAAGAATTTGGTTTGAGTCAGGGCCCCATGCAGCGCTCAATACAGGAAGCCCACCCTGAAGAATCGTTGCTCTTAGCAGACCAGAGGGTGACCATGTTTTCAAGTTACCATCTTGGCCAGCTGAATAGGTAGAAAAAGCATATTATTAAATACACAATTAATTTTGTAAAAATAATTTTCAATACTGGTCGTCCCATAAAAAAAAAACTAAAGAAAATAGAAGAGAATTTCAGAGGTAAAAATTGATGAGGGGCTTGAAGGACAAGGCGCATAAGTGCAGTTTTTAAAATAATCGACATACCTATGATTTCAAGTAAAACTAGTCCGAACGTATATTCTGTGAAAAATTCGCTCCCAAATTACAATTTTTAAGCATCAAAAACTCAGTTTAAACTTTCTTACCGCCATTAGGATCCATGCAATTTCGAAACTTCAAACACGTATTTCTCGAAATAGCAAAAACTGCACTTCTGCGCCTTGGTTCCCAAGTCCCTTATATGATTTACAAAGATACAAACTAATTTAAGCTACATTTACTCTGAAATGTAAATTATTTGAAAATGATTCGGCGAGTGTGTGAGATCAAGTTAGGTTGGATGATAAATGTATCATAACATATGCTAACACGCAATTATAATATAAGATTAAATTAATATAATAAGACAAAATCGATTTCAACGTACAATAATACTAAAGATTGTACGCAAGTAAAACTTCTGCGATAGTTTCAAGGGACGAACCTGTTAAAAATCCCGTTCCATCGTGGTTCCACAGACCGGCAAGGATAGCACCGTCGTGAGCCGTAACTGATTTTTCAAAGCGGCCATTTCGACCCAATAAAAGAAACTTCCCTGCTCGAAAATAAAACAATTATACAGAAATTTCAAAAGCACGTTTGAGGGGCTTCGAGGATAAGTAAGGCACGTAAGAGCGGTTTTTGAAAAAATGTAAATATTCATGAGCTCAACTAAAACTGAATCAGTGAGGACAAAAACACACCAACTCGGAAAAATGAAAATGATCAAGACACACTCAAAACTGCACAGTAGGTGGAGAAGTTACTTCAAGAAAAATATTTTTGCTGCTGAAAGTCAAGTACTTATGAACGTTTTAAAGGTCCAAGTTGGGACAGATGCGCTGACTTCAATGATCTTTATGTAAATTAACTGTTTTTAATGGAAATTGAGCATATTCGAGCTACCGAGTTGGTGTGTTTTCTTTCTTACTGATTCAACTAGTTTGAGAGTATATTCTGTGATAAATTGAAACATCAAAAAGTGAGTTTAAACTTCCGTTCCGCCATAGGGCTCCATGTAATTTTGAAACTTTAAACACGTATTTCTTGAAATAATGTACAGTAGACTCTGGATTATCCGGCTTCGTATTATCCGGATCGATTTCGCAACCATGTAACTACGCACGCATTCCGATAAGTGAGCGGATCCGCGGAGAAGCGGTCGTAAAGCATATTAGCGCCTGCAAGGCTGAAGGAATACTTCACGCATTGCGCTAAACAGTGAGGTCTGCGTGGAACGCATTAGCGCTTACTAGATTGCATAAATACTTCTCGCATTACGCCAAACGCAGTTCAGTCGGTTAGTTAGCCTAAAACGCACATTAGCGGCTACAAGACTGCATGAATACTTCACGCATTGCGCGCTTTAATCGTTGTATTGTAATTTATCGTTGTCGGCTACCATTCACAATCACCATTGAGCCGTTCAGTTTGGCGTTAACCTTTTAAATTCGTGTTGGTATGTACATGAAGTATACACAATAAGAATACTGTGGTGTTGGTTGGTGGTGTTTGTGTTTACTATTATTATCCGGATTTCTTTTTCATCCGGATCGGGCTCGGCACCAATTAATCCGGATAATCCAGAGTCTACTGTACCAAAAACTGCACTTGTGTGCCTATTGTCCTCCAAGCCCTTTATTTCAACGATCAAACGAATGTATAGAAAAGGCAGAATATCTTCTTTCCCCTTACTCAATGTAATTTTTTGCTATGAATATTTCAACTGACTAAAAGATAATCCATTTAAATGACATTGGAAGAAGACTAGTGAGAAACGTAAGTAAAGAACTAAAAATCACCTCTATGAAAGTTATATCGCAGAAATGGACAGCATGTCAGATATGAAGAATAATATTTTATGCTTTGGATACATTCAGTCGTAGGAGTAGAATTTGTTTATTTTATAGAGATGCCTTCACATAACTTTGACCAGTTACACCTCTGTAATTAGAGTACAGATTTTGTCACAAACGGAGAATTTGGATTTACATATACTAGTGAAAAAAAATAAACAAATAAAATAATTCAATACTTCTAAACCCCTTCGAATCGCATGTGAAGAAAACTGCCCATTCCTGGTGACTGTTTACTATTAATTTTCTAAAATTTGTTTCAAACTCTTGATGTTTACCTTCCATGTACTATTCAATAAATTCTGGTAAACGTAGCATTCCTCGGTAATCTAGGACTAGATTTTGATTTACAATCTCAGAGGAATTCATGAAGCGCAGCCATGAAAAATATGAAATATTTCTCTGCCCTTGGTTCAAAAGTATAAGGTATTCTTAAGATAGAAAGAAACTTCAAATTACCGTCCGCACAAGTGAGTAAAATTTGCTCAAGACCAACCTTCTTGTTTGACGTTTGAGCTTTAGAAAATGCGTGGAAGCCGGTTGGACGGACATCATTTTTAAATTCACAAACCTTTCCAGTCTCTTTGTTAGAAAGATTCCACTTAAGGAGAACGTGTTCATCGCTGGAAAGTAAAAAGCAAAACAAATAAATAGAAAACTATCACTGGAAAAAAAACCACATTGGTTCTGAGCCCAGACTCTTAAAATCATCAACAAGAAAAAATACTCTTGATTCAATCAGATTTAAGCTTAAATCAAGAACCAAGCCTCTTAATTTGGTGGATTTCCTTTTGATTTAAGCTTAAATCTGATTGTATCAAGAGTCCTTTTTCTTGTCAATGTTTTCAGGAGTCTGGACTCTAGATCCAATGTTTTTTTTTCCAGTGTATACCTAGCATTTTTTTATGAGTTCATTCAAAATATAGATCTCTATTCTAATAATACGATAGGTATACAATAAGAAGCATTGGAAATATTACTTAATGTAGAAAATATATAATTTTGTATATTCAAACCTACTCAATTAACCTCTCCGCCTCTCCGCCTCTCCGCCTCTCCGTTGTATCAACTGCATGAACCCATCACAAATGTACAGATCTAACATAGTATATAGGTATTTCAAATAAATAAATATTAATTTCCAAAAACGAATTATGCTGCTAGGGCTTTATAAATCAACGCCAAGAACAAAAATAATTCGGGCACAACGTGAAGATAGGTTATTTGAAGAACATTTCGAAGGATAGACAAGAATTAAATATGCGTTTATAAGTGTTGATTTTATGACATGGACTGAGCGATACGAAATACAAGTAATTCATTCAAAATTTCAAACCGTCCGAAAAAATCTCAAAATTAAAACATAATAACAACTTCATAAGTACTTGATGAATCAATCCTACTCACCTGCAGAAAAACACTTCCTCAGATGTACTCCATCCAACAGCAACCAACGGTCCTGAATAGTCCGAATGTCTATTGAGCAGCACTTTTAATTTCATTCTCTTAGAGAAGATTCGAAGGGAATTAATTTTACATTACGAGCATGAATTATATACCTTCACAATCGAAGTTATATACTTTTGCGAAGCAATACTTTTGATATGGTGTTTGTGTTACTTATGAATGAACAAAAAATATTATTGAGACATTCATGAGAAGATCATTAGTGGCATGTGCGCATACGCCTGCCCTTGTTTACTCCCGGTCTCCATGGCGACGCGATGCATCACCTGTTTAGAATGAGCATGTACTGTCAGAATTAAAGTGCAGTTCGTTCTAAACTCCAGCTGCGCATTGTTGAATCACTTACCTGTTGCATTGCTCGTTCATTTAATGAATGTTCATTTTGATTATTTGAACTGCCAACGTTTTTCATCACAAAGTCGAAATTGAGGTAGAACGTACCTCAAAATATATTCCGAGTATGCTTGTTTAATTATTTATTTATTTTTGTTTATTTCTTCTAGATATGTCTTGTACGTATTGCATATTTATACATGTATTGATATTACATTATGTAATCGAATTTCCTTTTCTTATCAATCCTTGTAGAAAAGAAACGCCTTTGGGGTATTTTGTTGTTCACTAAATTGCGTACTTGATCCTTTTTCTTGTATTTTTAATTTTCTTCATTTTTTTTTTTTTTTTTTTTTTTTTTTTTTTTTTTTTTTTTTTTTTTTTTTTTTTTTTTTTTTTTTTTTTTTTTTTTTTTTNTGGGTTTAAAAAAAAAAAAAAAAAAAAAAAAAAAAAAAAGTAAAGCAACTTTTTCAATAGAAGTTACTTACTTCCTTCAGCTTCTGATCTCGCTAAAACGGCAAAATGCATTTTATAAATAAGAAAGGGATATGAGGAAGCAGGAAAAGCGCAAAATTTGACGTCATTTCAAAAAAAAACAGCAATAGCCGGATTAGCGCTGAGGAGCCCGGGATGCTGGCGCGCACAAGTAGCCCGCTCATTTGCGGGTCGCATACTCTCAAAATTGAAGGCAATTCAAGTTTCCCAACAACCGAGAGTTCTATTACGGCTGCGCCCCCTGCGCTCAAATACTAAAATAACACGAATGAGGAATGCCACACACAATATCTCATTTCAAGACATGAAAATTTTTAACTACATAAAGGAGCAGGGGCCTCTTGAATTCTTATGAGGAAACAGCAATCCGATCGAAGATTTTTTTCTACGTCGCGTCGATGCATTCCCTTTAAAGTGACAGTTAGGCTTTTATTAGATCTTCAAACATCAACGCTCGGAGTTTTTTTAAAATTATTTTTAATTTAGAAATACTTGCTTGCAGTTGATGAATTAGTTGAAATCCTGTGCTTGGGGTTTCGGAGGCCTCATGGCCCCGAATTTTTGCCTTAGAATGTCTTTAAATCTGAAGTTTGAACTTCAGCGGTTATTAAGAAACTTACTCATAAGGACCCACCAAAACATCGATATTTGGGGCTTTAATACAACTAAATTCAGAGCCGGGGAGTCTATGGGAATATTCTTACTCAGGGCCCGCGAAACGCTGATTTCCTAAATTTGATGAAATTTCAGTTTTAAATTCTCAAGTCCCCGATGGTCATCAGGGGCCCCAAATACTAAAATTTAAGAAGCCTAAAACACTGAAAATTACGGTCTCAAGGCCTATTTAAATTTGTCATTTAGACTCCAAGGGCCCTAAAAGTTCTAGTCGTATTTCTTGCTGAGTTACATAATTAAAAATAGTGCTAATAATAAAAAAAATCGCCCTGGGGAAAATGGGGTTAGGGACCCAGCACCCCGGCTAATTCGGCCCTGAAGTCTGCATTATTTTACGAGAAATCAAAATCTCCTGTTTTCAAGTGATTCTTGCCACTCTTTTTGACAATCTCTAACCCTGAAATGTCTGTTGTTGTTCCTTAAGCGTAATTACGCAAGTAAGCAAAGAAGATATTACATACCGTTATCTTGTCTACTATAAAACGAAAACGCCCTTTTTATCGAGTCGAAGGTAAAATTCGCCGCTTATCAAAATTCCGAACGATTCCTCAAAATCTACCGGATGACTCTTTTGTCATTTTTTGAAGAACGGAATATTCATTCCGAAAAATTTCCGCTAGGATTATACCCTGGTTCATTTTCTGAAGACTTCATTTTTGGAGTCATTGCTTTTTTCGGTAACGAAATTTTGCAACATGTAGTAAGGAGGAGGGAGGTAGGCTGTAAATAACGTCACTGCGTAGCCAGGGAGTTTGCGTGGGTGGCAAAGCGATTGAGAAAACTGCAGGTTTTCATCAATTGACCGCCTAAAAGAGGAGTCGAGGTGCGGGATGGAGGGGGAAGCTTGGGAATTGTAGGTCACCCCCTGGGTCACAGGGAAGGTGGGCCATTGATGAGATCCTCCATGCGCGTAACGCATCTTACGCGGGGATGCGCGACCACCCTCCGACCCCCTGCGCCTCCCCCCGCCGTCCCCGCCCCGGACACTCACCTACCCTCCCGCCCACCAACTTATTGATATTCTGCGGGCTTGCGCCCTTTCCCGCGAGCAACAGTGTCCCGCTCAATTTTCTGTCCAACTCCCGTTCGCCGCCTTTCCGAAATATCGCTTTTTTATGAAAGTCCCGACTTAATTCGTTTAAGTGTTCCATTAACGGTGTCGCGTGTTATTCCTGAACTCCCACGATACGCCCCGGTGTGGTGGAGAGCCGCTTGATATGGAAATTCTCCTGAGGAGGAGAAATCTTCCGCCCTTCGAGGATAGTCTCGTTTAGCCTCGTGTCATGACATCGGTTTTTTGGATAACGCCCAAAGGTAACATTAATCAATGTTTTGGCATGTTTAAGCACATTTTCATGGGAACATGATTTATAGAATGCGGTAATTTAGCATCCTCTCTCAAAATATCAAAAAAATTAGAAGTAAAAAAAAAAAAAACGAAACCTCTATGATTTAGCATTGAGTCTCGCTATACAAATTAGAAAATACAATTTTCAGCAAAGAAATAATGAAGAGGATTTTCGCTTACGAATAAGTTGATTTAATTGGGTAATGAGCATCCCCACTCGGAATGAATCCTCAGTTTGATTTCAGGCAATGTTGAAAAACAGGTGTCAAAGACAATGTCAATTGTATTTTAAAATATTGAGTTTCGTGTCTTTCATATCCGGTTTGGTGAATTAAACGGATGACATTAAATATACTCGTAATTTATGTATTAGATAGCATGATTGAACATTAATTGCTGAGGCTTTTCTAAGTGAGTCAAGTGAGGAAAGGAACGACAGCCCGCTTGATAAGCAACTTGAAAAAGTCCCACGGGTCCCTGGAAATGTTTAGAGTTAAAGTTTTAAAAATAAAAGGAATCAGAAGAGGAGATACTGAAGGGCTGAACTTCGCCGCACAAGAGGTGCTTACGCCGAGACTTGAAGCGCACGTAGCCTGGGTACGCATCCCAGTGACCTATTTTCAAGACGCACAATTGTTAAGGTGTGAACACTGCGTTGGATGAAACGTATTTATTTGTGAATCCTCCGTCAGTTTTGGCAATTGACTGTTCAATTAACACTAGAGTGGAGTTGTGGCCACAAACCTCCCTTAATTTGTATCTTGTTGCCTTTTTACATTATTTTGGCGGTTTAAACTTTTGTGATTGAACACCAGCTCAATCAACAATGCATATAAGTTAGAACATCCGATGTTTCGCACAAACTGCTCCAGCTACATCTTTATTTTTTCTCTCGAGAGGAAGTTAGAAACGCGATTCTACATCAAAATTTGGTACTCAATTATACTTTAACAACGTTTAATGGACAAAATCACGGTGCGTTGTTTTTTTCACCACGGCTTTCACGGCTTCCAATGGTTCCCCTTACTTTTCTCTCATCAGCGTCGCACGAGAAGTGACTATTTTTTGTAAGTATTTGCATCGAGATGAATACGCACAAGACGAATCCATCTGAATTATTTTTTTCATGGATTATAGCGTCGCCCTTATACTTATTAAGTTTAAATTTCGCGCGATTCATTATTTACGCAGAAAATAAAATTCAAGGAAATTAGTATGAACATCGGATCAAAATTTCCCGTCATACTTTGCATTTCGATGGTTTTTATTATCGAAAAGTGCCAGCAAACTGGAATCACGTTTTTATTAGACGCCCGATTTATTGTTCTGTAACTTGAACAAGGGTTGATTTTCAAAATTTGTTGGTACGATTTGCCCCCAAATTACATCAAGAACTTCTCTAAGCTGAGGTACATAGTTATCCCATTCTTATTTCTTTTTATAACCATATGGACTATTTTGACCGCCTCTATCATCATTTGCGTTCTCCTATTTAAAAAAAAAAACAAAAAAAAACTGACAGGTCATATTTTCTTTCAAAGTTTTTAGAAAACATTGTTCCAGTAATCAATGCCGGATTTACCTACTTGCCCCCCCCATGGGCCGCCTGTATTTTGCCGCCCCTTCTCATTCGTTTTGAAACATCGATTCAAACAATAAAATGAACGTGCCGGAGGAGGAGGGGTGCATAAGACGCGTTTACTCGTGTTGGGCACATTTTTTGTGAAAGCCCTATCAACACTACCCAAAGTTAACGGAACTTTGCGCGAAAATTAAGTTCCGTAAACCTATCTCTGTGTGGACAAGGCTTTTCAGTTATAAGAAATGAACGAAAAAATCATGAATGAATAAACATGAATGTGGTTAAATGGTTTTAATTTCCGCCACCGCGCCAACCGCACTGTGTTTGTCGCAATGCGTGAAGTATCCCTACAATCTTGTAGGCGCTATGCGTTTTACGCCGACCGCTGCTGACCGCACTGTTTTTAACGCAATGCGTGAAGTATCCCTACAGTCTTGTAGGCGCTATGCGTTTCACGCCGACCGCTGCGCTGCTGACCGCACTACGTTTGACGCAATGCGTGAAGTATTCATGGAGTCTTGTAGGCGCTAATATGTGTTTCATGCTGACAGGCGCGCCGAGGTGGGCTTCTCCTTTCCATCTCAAGTCCTCATCATCATTGCTCTCTGCGCCGCGCCGCTCCAGTCCAAATTGCGTGTTCGGTTTCTCTCTCAACTAGACTAATGAAAAGCGCTGTTTCTTGTATCATCGGTAGACGAACAAATTAGAAATTATTCTACTTCAACTCTCAGAAATGAGAGATTTTTTCACCTTTTCGCGTTTGAAATTTTTTTTCTGGATCAGACTTTTTCTTGATACCTACATTTGAAAGAATTACAACATTTGCCGCCCCCTAAATTTGCCGCTATGGACCGTGGCCTATGTGGCCACCTCCTACATGCGGCCCTGCCAGTAATTAAAAACAGTTGCGCGAATAATGAAAAATGTAAAAAAAACACCTGGTTTTCCTTTTTCACACTGTTAAAAATAAATGATTTACTCTGAGTGAATAGCCGGCGTGGAAAAAAACCCAGCGCGAATTTCGCGTCGTACTCTGAGTGAATAGATCAGAGGGCAAATATCACCAACGACGGACGAATTAGTTGAGGTACCACCTCAAGTAGCGTGAATTTAGAGCTTCCTGGTACGAGCGCCGAATGGCTAAGTGGTAGCGCACTCGTCTGTCACCGCCACGACTCGAGTTCAAATCCACGCTGCGGCAATCCCGTTTTACGTTTGCCTGTCAGATTTTCTCTCCCGCCAGAGTGCGAAATTCGCGCCGGATCCATACACTCAGAGTAACAGGTGGTCAAAATAGCAACTGAGCAAGCGTGAATTTCGCGCCGGGATTTTTAACAGTTCAACCAATGCAATAAGAAGTTTCTAACACAGCAAATCATGTTACTTGCATTCTAGTTTCACTATTAATCAGCATCGTGCAGCGTGATAATCCACAAATCCTTGGATCTATTAAATGGTAATATTGGTTTTGTGTTTTCAGGATGATCCGGTAGATGGAGTATGGTGTCATCATGGACGAAGCGGGAACTTCTGCGTCTACAGCGGGAGCAGGAGCCGGCGGGGAGGTGATCGAGGATGAGTCTGATTTGAGTAAATTCGAGAACAAATCTGGATTGGCCGAGGACATGAAGTTTCTCGCCTCCATGCCGGAGCTTTGCGATATAACTTTTCTCGTGGGCGATTCGCGAGAACCTGTGTGCGCTGTCAAAGCGGTCCTAGCCGCACGAAGCAGGTCTGTATTTTTTTAACTCCAAAAAATCCAGTTATGTCGATCTATATAGACTGATAAACGAAAACGCATAAAAATCGGGGTACAAGCTGAGAAGAGGACAGATATTTCGTCGCTCCTCTGACGTAAGGGCGTATCTCGATTTCTGCGTGAGCCCTGATTTTCGTATAATCCTATGCTTTCCGGGGCCCATGTGGAATTACAGATACGCCCTTACGTCAGAGGAGCGACGATTTTTCGGGACGTTTCGGGATTTACATGCCCTTTTTTAACCGATGAAAAACTTGATGAATAACAACAAGGGCCCCTGCTCAATGGCAAGGCAAGACTGAAGAGAAGATCGAACGGATTTTTAGACTGATCGATAAATCTTAATGGTCGACGATAGTGTTCGATAGGCTAATTATTGGAAGTTCTTCAAACGCTGTACGTGCTGTATCGATGGTTCTGAGCAAACCACGTATCTTGGTTTGCGACGTTGCAGACTTCCTGTCATATTTTATTTTTTAGAGAACTACTCAATGCAAATTCTTAAAAACTACTATCACTAACAATTCGCTCTTAGAGCGCTTTTGTGCGCTCTGCTCCATCCAACCGCCACTGATAGCGATCCTGCCAGAGCTCCTCCGGCAGATCCCATCTCCTTATTTTCTGCCGTATTCCCTCAATCCACGATTTGGCAAGGCGTCCTCTTCTTAAAAACTTCTTTGGCTCTTCTTCCCAGTGTTCAGCAAATTCTGAGAAAACTTAAAGGAATGATGTTGATTTGTTCTCCTTTCAAAAAATAGAGAGACAGACGAAGAGATTTTTAAAAACCGCCAACGAGATACCTGGTTTGTGAGTTTTACCGTCGACATGAAGTTACATAATACAAAAAAGTATACCATAGCTGCAATATTTTGAGCCATCGTTGTTCCCAGAAAATTGTTCAATTCTTAATTTAAAGTCTGGCTACTCTGATAGAAGTTAAAAATTAATATCACAACTTTCAGCGGTATTTTAAGATGTAAAAAAAAATATTTAATTGTAATTGTTTTACTGTTTGGCTACAGAGTATTTTACAAAATATTATACCAAGCTCCAAGTCCTCAGAGGAAAAAAGATTCTACCGAGAAATTACGTCTCTTTCTAAAGAGAAGGAGTGAACCTCTCCTAAACTCACAAAGTTCTACCAGTCAGGTAAGGGATCTTTCTTAGCACCCATGTGTTGTCATATTTCTTCCAGTTGATCGATCGCACAAAAAAGACAAAATCTCTTTTTATTTTACTCTCAACGGCAAGCACCAATGTCAGCTTTTGATGTAGATTTGAATGAGTCATTCGCTGAACCGGATCGGAGAAATATGTTTTGTTCCTTTGATTTCGCCAATCACCAACCCTCCAGTTGGGGTGGAATTTGCAGTCAAACAAGATCAATGATTGATTGCTCTTTTGAACAAAAGGGACCGGAAAAAAACATTAATTACGTTATTTTGACCTGACTGTTCTACTCATATGCTACGATGGAAGAATGCGATGTTGACAGTTTGGTATCCATCGACGCTACGCGTTGTCCAGTTATTTCGATCTGCTTTTTCATGGGGAGCAATTTTAATTGCAATAGGCACATATTTCAGAATTCAATACCATATTTGTGTATCCGACGGCTTTCATTTTTATTTTTTTTAAACTTTTATTTAGAACACCACTACTACGTACTAAGTGTGTTTAAAAGCTTTCATGATTTCCGGCTATTGCACGCATAGTACATGTAAGGAATATGTTCCTACTTCCTCTTCCTTCTCTCTATTTCTCTCTTCCCTATGTGCTCCCTTGCTGTGTGATGTCCTCTTGATTTTAAAGCAAAATTGTGATTAATTTCTCGATTAATGCTCCAAACTTTTATTCAGTGTACCCTTTAATGTAGATGTACCTCCCATCATTTTACAAGATGTAACAATTTTTCCGAAGATGTATGTATATTAGGTTAAAAAATGAGTAATAGTTTTAGCGCTGATGAGTAGTTTGAATCATTCTTGGAGAGTAATGATGAGTAATGATCACACTCTGTCTTTACTTTGAAACAACGGGAATTACCATTTGTGGGCGCTTCGTGCATTTTGACGCATACTTCGGTGGAGTTATTTTAATTAGACTGTAACGTTTAGTAGAATGGTTCGCTGTCGAACAAGAAGGAGTCATACATATTTGGGAGGACAGATTTTTGGTCTGAACCGTTGGGACTCAATTTAAAAAAAAAAAAAAATCCGTTCTTTGTCGAATAATGAGACGAAACAGACTCGTGGCTTGTTAGGATTGCGGTGGCGTTTTTCTTTGGTATATTAATGTTTGCTTTTTAGAAAATGTAGTTAGGCTCTTATTTTCTACTGCATGTTGGAGTGAGCTTATTGCCTAGTGAAAAACAACTTCTGTCCTAAATTATTTCAAAATCCTGTGACTCTTTGTCGATGCATGCCACGAAACAAAATAAATAAATTAATAAGTCGGCCGCCGCAAGAAGTCAGAAGTTTCCATTTGTGAACTATATAGCTGCGCCGAGTTTCCACAAGCTATAATCTTAATTTAAATTTAAACCATCCAAAAACATGAAACAGTTCATGTAAGAGGTAGGCCCCGAAAGGAATCTTAGAGAACTGCAAAAAATAGTTATACCCTTAGATAGGAGTCAGAGGCCGGAATATTCTGTCTTTTTTACAAATATAAATGCATTTTATGCCTTATCCTCCAAATTAAGCTATAGCTTTAACTCTAAATGGTATTTTTTATATACTTACTTTCCTGTTTTCGGGCACCTTGGAAAATTTGAATTTTGTTTTTATGCTTGAAATTACTTTAAATTTTATAATTTTTATAGCCTCAAAAACAATTATTTCAAAATTTTACTCTTTCAATTTTGACTATTTTTATCATCAGTTCTTCTAAGAATAATTAAAATCCTTTTGGGTGGTTATGCTTCCGTAAAACTATGTACAATACTTTGACTAAATTATTTTAAATTTAAATTCAATTTCCTGCCAAGAGACTAGGACTCAACGAACCGAGGAGCTTTTTGCTTGTGATTGTTTTTGAAATATAAATTAACCTGTGCTAGATTGAAGATCACCTCTATGTTTCCCATTAATTTATCTGCCCCCAATGTATATTGCTGCTAGCTTTCTTCAAATATGATCTGTATATGTGCCATGTGTTCTCTGTGTCGCAGCGAGGATATACGCAGCAACTTGCACCTATTCAAGAGGTAACTTTTTCAATGTCTATTTGCCTTCGAACAAAATACGACGATTGTTAGAATACCAAAGTATCCTCCTTCTCCAAACTTGGGGCCTGACGTAGATGCACACTGCAAGAATAAGGATTCCATCAAAAATATAGCTAAATGATATTTAATGGGGAATTTCACAGGGACATGTTAAGTTACAATTTTGCGGAAAAAATACTGCTATTGGCTATAATAATGCTATTAAAAATAATGTTATCCCGTTGGAGGAGCGCTATAAGTAGAAATCGTTTGCGTGAATAGATCTGCTCATTGTCCGTGAAGACCATCTGTGAATTATTACAAAGAAAAAAGGATTCTCTTCTATTGGTGTGACTGCGAAATTTTTAGAGCTACAAATATATGAAATCACCCCTCTTTTGATTTTGTCTCTACGTGAAAATATTTCCCAAAATTGTGTCAAGCCTTTTTTCTGGGTATAGTCCCTCGCAAGTGAGCTAAAAATCTCATTCTGGCTCTAATATAATCGGTTCATTTCAACATGTACGCAATCTTTTTTATGGGTTACTGTGGACGAAGTTATCCAAAATAAAAATCTCAAATAAACGTTATCAGTATGAGAATAGGAAAATTAGGGGTGTGATATTCTTTAGATTACTGCAGCCATAGCCAAATTTTCAAAAAATACAAAGTTGGAGGAGTCACAAAATGTATGTAATGGTTGGAGAAATTGCATTTCTGACAGTCGTCGTATAGTTTAATTCACTGAGAATAGTTTCATTCCATCAATTCATTCATGTCATCTCATTTTCAAATCGCGAAACTTCCAAAACTACAAGAAAGTCCTAAAAATTAAGAGAAATTTTGGTGTTTCCTTGTCAATATCGAAGGCTACGCGCGAAACATCGGAGAAACAAGAGCTCAAAATAAATTCATATTGAACTCAAAAATTTGGTCATAAAAAGAGCATGTTATTTGTCCAGTGCTTTTTGCAATTGACTTCCCTTCTTTCAAGAGGGAACCTCTGACAAAATCTTATTTTTTATCATCGAGATAAATGTTGCAATTTATGTTCCTCCATGATCTAACTAGACTCAGCTTCTTTCTAATGCTTCGGTACGTGTGGTGTGTCAGTGTGTGAGTGTGCTTACTTCCAGCTCGTTCATTGTTCATCTTCTACATCCATCTACTAGTTTTAACTGTTTAAGTTGCTTATACTGAACCCTCTAAACCAACTATGTGGGTCTCACAATACGAAAATCCTAATTACTGATTAGAACCTAGAATAATCTTTTAGAAGTATCCACGTGGCTCTAAGGCATTCCGATTATAAGCAGATACTATACTTAAATTCGAATTCAAATTACTCATTGCATTTGCAACGGTGCAAAGGATGAGGGACCTTGGTGCTGGAAACATATTTGTATCGAATTATTGGTGCCACTGCGTACAGCTTTTACGGACGTTTTGGCTCAACCATTTCGAATCGAAAGAAAGTTGCAACTGTGTGAAACTTCAGTTAAAAAAGTTTTAATCAGAAATTACGCCAGTAATATAAGAAAATACAATTTTAAGAATTTACTTGTCGTACCTAAGGTTTAAAGTCGTCGGATTGAAGCATATCGTTTTGTCTGCTATTGACGCGAAAATTAAATTAGCCCCTCTCACCTTATTTTTTGAGCAGTGAAGAGGATTTTTCCTCAGAAATTTATAGTACCAAATCTTTCGCCAATTTGACAAAAGTCGCTCCTTCGAAAATTTTCCACCGGGAAATTGCAGCCTCCTTCTTCTCCTCCACCTCTTCTTTAGGATGGGCTTATTGGTTTTAAAAATACTCTTGTATTACATTATGCTTATGGCAAATTCAAAGAGTCAATACTGTGGACAAGCATTATTGTAATCGAGCATCTTTTTAGCTCTCACTATCGAGTGAGAGGTAAAAAGATCGCATCATCCCGAGTCTTCATGCGGGGCTTCATGACATCAAAGACGCTGCCCTGAATCCGCCTGAGAGCCGTATCCCTTATGTGATATAAATCCCATTAGCGACTTCCAACGCCGTATTGCACTTTCAACATTCCTGTGAAGAAAAAAGATTGAAGCGCCTTCATGTCTTTGGTATGCAATAAGGGCAACCACTGAGCAGAAATAGTTGCATCTTAAGTTAAACAATCAACATCGTATGTTCCGTATTCAGCAATATTACAAGGGCGCTAGCAGCTGAGGGCTCTGTATCCAATTATTGCCGTTCTTTATATCTAAAATCATTTACTTGGTCACTATCACTTTCCTCTTTTATATATTTATATGGGAGATCACTGAAATAAATACTATATGAAATCTAAGTGTTTTGCTCTCTAGAGAATTTTCCGAGGTTAAACGCACCATACTCTCTTCCTTGATGGTGTAGCCCTGCAAAGTTTCTCCCTAAAAATAGTCAGTTTTATGTTACGCAGAATCTCTGAAAATTGCTCTCTTTTTCCATTCATTAGAGCCACAGAAAATGTTGAATGTTGTAATACCGACAACTGTGGCTCGAACTTAAGGACCGTTTCAATGAAGAGCACACAATAATTTATTGCTCGTCTTTAGACCTACAATTAAGAGACAACAGTCTTGTAATACACTACTAACAAAAAGTGTTTGGTTTCACGAAAAATTCCACAGGAATAAATCATGCAAAATAAGATTAGAAAAAATCAACGAAATTTGGGAAATACTAACTGACCGTGGAGTCCTCACTCTAATTATGAGCCCCCACACGTAATTTATTTATGTATCTTACAGTCATATTTCTCATCTTACTACTCTTCTGATGTGCCTTTGAAAGAGGTACTGATCAAAAGAGTGTATTATTGATGAATAACGGAACGTGATTTTGTTACAGCCGCAGCCCCATCAGCATCAAACCCAAATTATTGAGGAGTTCGAGCCTGACGTTTTTAGGCAACTGATAGAATACATCCACACAGGGTGTGTCACGCTTCAACCACGGACCTTACTCGGTAAGACATCAGATGTGAACATCAGCGCCACATTAGCATCCCCCGTAAAGAAATTATATATATAGAAAACATTTCAAAACATCACAAAAGATGTACATCAAATTTATGACCCCTATGCAAAGCTGCGTTAAAAATATCCAATTTTAATGAGCTGTTACCCGTAAAAGAGCTTTTAGGAATTAGGCTTTTCTACATCAGGGTCGCGGTCGTAGCAATTGAGGGCCTGTCCGGCTGACAGCGCCTCAGGCCCCTCTGACATTTTCCCGACTACCCCCTTCACGTTTGGCTTAGTCTTACCGTACCCCTCCCTTTGCTGCATTTTGCCACAAAAAATGATACACCACGCATCCATAATTCCATACCCACCTACATTTAGGTTAGAATTTTTATCGTCATGCACAACGGACTAAGACTGAATGTGAAAATCACATTCGAAATAAATAATTTATTTCGTCCATATACGTTCAACTTTAAAAATAAAATTCAGTCATAAAACCATACGCAGTTAGGGGCTGTTTATAAATTACCCAAAGCTCTACGTGGGAGGAGCTTAAGGAAAGCGTTACGCCATTTCGCTTTTAAGTGTTATAGGATAGGGAACGGAGCCTGCGGCACAAAAACGTTGCATGAGGGGAGGGAGCGGCCAAAACTTCCGAAAAAGTGCATGCATTGTGTAATTTCGTGGTCTCTCTTACAATGGAGCGTAACCACATGCAACGATGCCAAATTTCCCCTGGCAAAGTGCATTTGTACCATGAGAATCTTAAGCATTTCTAACTAGAAATCCCATTGATTTTTCCTCGGATCTTTTGCAAATATCAGAAAATTTTTGGACGAAAATTGTACAGCTCATTTTCGTAAAAAATTGAATTGTTCGGGTCAATTTTGCAACCTTGGAATGGAGTTACGTTCCTTTTTCTGGAAAACAACGATTTATGTTAAACAACGATTTATGACCCCCCCCCTCCCTGTTTCTTCGATTCCTATATTGATTATGAGGCGAAGCTTGTAAAGAAGCAGCACATTTATGTCTCCGACTTTGCTTTGTTTAGGTGTAATGAATGCTGCAGACTATTACGGCTTGGACGAGTTGAGACGGGCGTGTTTTGGTTTCGTTCAATGTTGCATCAATGTCGATACCGTTTGTGCACTTCTCGCTTCGGCTGAAAGATATATTCAGTACAAATGTACGAAATCGTTAGTACAAAAGGTAACTATGAGACCTTCGTTTAAAAACAATTTTACTCTTTTCAGCGCAGCATTCTCCGCTTTGTCCGTTTAAACATGGGTATAGTGTGTCTAGTTGAATTTCGAAAAAGATTACAATATCCAAGCTTATGAAAATATTTGCAAGTGTAAATACATAGAGAACATGACAATTTTAATCAATTAAATATGAGACTGCGAGTTGCTTTTTTTCTCTGAAAGTGCGTGCTTTGAAAACTTCCATGACTTTTCTGCTCTGCGTAAAGAGTATTCTATGAAAATTTCAAGGGATGATACTGATCCGTTCTCTATTTAAAAAATTGAATATCAGAGGACATTTGGAAACATCTCAATTGAATTACAAGACTTGGGAATTTTACCGTTGATATGGAAGAACTCAGATCACACCCCCATTGTGAACAACAGACCTAGGTACAAAAAAATGATCTAAGAAATAAAAATAAAAAGGAAAAGTTCTCTTATCGGATCTAATGGAAATTACACAACGATACATTGTTGTTCTTATTTCTTTTCTCTTCATTTCAGGTTTTAGAATTTGTGGATGAACACGGTAATGATGTGCTGAATCTGGGCTCATTCACGCTTCTGCCTCAACATGTTGTGCGGCTAATTTTAGCTCGAGAAGAATTGCGGGCCGATGAATTTACTAAATTTCAGGTTAAAATTCAATATTTTTACTGCCTTTTTTCAGATTTTAGGCTAAAGTTTGCATATTTTTACAGGATCCAGCGACACGTTTTCCTCCAGGCAAAAAAGGAAGCATAGGTACATAAAACATTGATATCATATTCTTTTATTATTTTATTATCATTGCTAAAATACCCTATAGGCCAAAATTTGAAAATTTCCGACGACGGAATTTTAGATTAAACCTACTTACGTACCTGACATCATCGCATTCTTTAAGTAACGTACTTTTTATGCGAAACAAATACTGGAATTGAAAAATGCATATCCGATTGCGACGTTGGAAATCTCCGGTATATTGTTTTATTTTTTTAAAGAAAACCAACAAATTAGTTTGCCTTGACATTTCTTCTCTCATTCAAACAAATTAACAGAGATTCTTGTTAGTTTTCTTTTAAAAAAGTAATTATCGTCTGAGACTTTGGAAGATTTGATCGACCTATTAATTTGATCGGATCCATTAAGGTACAAATGTCGGTTCTGATTAATTGATTTTTTTTTGTTTTTTTTTTTGGAGAAACAATAACTGATGTTTATGCTACCTTCAGATGGTATCATTCTATCGTTCACTAAATCCGAAGGTAGATTTTTTCTGTAGGTATGGGAGGGAGGGGAATATTTCTAGTATTGAAAGATCGATACCAATTTCCTAACCATCTTTAAATGTTTTTCCAATAGATTGTTTTCTCTGTTGCAGGCTGTACTAATGTGGAGCAAAAAATATTGTGATAATAATTCTAATAGTAATCTAAAGGATACCGTAGGTAGTTTTCTAGAGTTCATTCAGTTTCATAAGGTTCCAGCCAACGTCCTAATGCGAGAAATATATCCTTTGACGCTAGTTCCGTACGACATCATTATGAATGCTCTTGCTTACCAGGTGTGTTATGCAAAACTGTTCCTTTTCTTAACTTCTGCATCATGTATCTCCCAATTTTGTCCCTGTATTTGCTCTCTCTGTATCTCTCATCACTCTCTCCCATTGCGATTCACATAAAATTCATTTTCACTTACGTGAAGAAATCATTGCAACTGAAAGCTAATAAAGCAAATAAAACGTAAAAAAAGGTGGTTAAGTCGAGATAGTGATTATTTATCATCATTGCATGCCACTCAATGACTTCAGAATCCAAGAGAAAATTGAAAGAAAAAAGAGAAGTCTAATCCTTATCAGATCAAAATTTTTTATTTCACGCAAAAACCGATTATGTACTAACAATAGTTCGCTAGTTAAAAATTACCGCAGAGCAATTAGCGAATTTTCTCCAAACGAAACTGGCTAGAGTACCTAAATAGGGAGAGTATTGACAACTCGAAATATGTAGCTCTTAGGGCCCAAAAGGGTAGGTAACCTTTGAAAACGAAAAGTGTCACTGTCAATCTTTAGACTCCAATATCAAACGAAAATGGACAAGAAAATTCATATGTAAGCATTTTTCCGCAAAACGAAGTCATATACGTGCTTTACCAACGACAGTTTCCAAAAATTATGATAATAAATCACTCTGGCTAATTTGAATTCATAGATTGCCTACCCTCGTGGGCTCTAAGAGCTCCATCAACTAACCTCAAAATTTTCGACATGTCTATACTCTCCCCATATAGGTATACTCCAGGGCCGGATTTACCTACTTGCCGCCCATGGGCCGCCTGTATTTTGCCGCCTCCTTCTCATTCGTTTTGAAACATCAATTAATCATCAAATGAACGTGCCAGCGGGGGAGGGGTGTATAAGACGCGTTTACTCGTGTTGGACAAATTTTTTGCGAAAGCCCTGTCAACATTACTGGTAGAAGTGCACGGAGCTTTGTGTGAAAGTTGAGTTTCATAAACCTATCTCTGCGTGGACAAGGCCTTCCATTCATAAGAAATGAACGAAAAAATTATGAAAGAACAAACATAAATGTGGATTAATGATTTTAACTTCCGCCGCCGCGCCGCGCTGACCGCACCGTGTTTGGCGCAATGCGTGAAGTATTCGTGCAGTCTTGTAGGCGCTAATATGTGTTACATGCCGACCGCCGCGCCGCCGCGCCGAGGGCTTCTCCGTTTCATCTCAAGTCCTTTTCATCATTTCTCTCTAAGTCGCGCCGTTCCGGGCCAAATTGCGTGTTTTAACTATTTGGTTTCTCTCTTAACTTGAACAATTAAAGGTGATGTCTCTTGTATCTCTGAAAGACGACAAAATTAGAAATTAATATACTCTCAGGAAATGAGAGATAATGTCGCCGTTTGTAATTTTTTTTTCCTAAATACGATTTTTTTTACCTACATTTCAAAAAAATTGCAAAATTTGCCGCCCCCTATAGATTTGCCGCCATGGGTCGCGGCCCATGCGGCCACCCCCTTGATCCGGCCCGGGTATACTCTATTTCTGGCCGAATGAGTCGGGAAAAGCATACATTCGTTTCACTTACTTTGCGTCTGGCCGAGGTTTTTTTCTTCACGTAGGATTTAATGGAACTGAAGTGAATTATCAACATTCACAGGCTTTCTTATGTTAAGATTAATGCATTATTCCTTGGCAGGCAGACCCAAGAAGCGTGGACCCCGGAAAGCTCTCTCCCAACAGAGTGAGGAGGTCCGCTCAAGGACGCTCCATGTCCGTTCAAAGTTCCACCGACCCCCTCGGCTCCAACACAACCCTAAGCTCCAGCGAAAGCTCCGAGATGGTCTCATCCGAAGGTCACCCGAAACACAATTCTAACTGACGAACCAGCCCGAGTTCAAATGTTAACTATTTTTCTAATAAGTCTATTCTTGTTATTCTTTTCGATGTTATGTATCCTCAGAAATGTGCTCATTGTTTGTATCTAGGGACTCGATTTATTTATTTTTGTTCGTGATGTGTGAAGGGCGAGACCATTACTTCCGCATGTAAACAAATCTTGGGCGCCGAAATCATGTTCAGCGTTTAAATTGGTATGAGGAGTTTAATTTTTTTAGGAGTGACTCTGAGAAATGTTTATGTTTCTGGTGTCCACCCTTTCAGATCTGACTGCACTTTTACAAAAAACGCCGCAAACTATGCATAAATACATAAAAACGGAAGACACATGTGCAAGATATGCATCAAGGCATTTCTATACTCTGTTTGTTTCAGAGGCGTGGCGTGCTGTGATATCGATTGATCTATCATTTAAACCTATGGGAAAGGACCGATAGCAAGGTGTTTGCAAAGAACACCTTAATAATCGATTCTCTACCACAGCTTCAAATGGGGAAGTATCGATGATCGATCTCTCACGCCTCGCCACTGAACTAATATCCTGTTGGAAAAATTCAGTTTTGGATGAACCAGATTTTCTAAGTGACACTTTTTAAATTTGAGATTTTGCATTGTTAATAATCTATGAATGTGTCTAGTTGATTTCCAACCGAATATGGTGTTAATGAAAAAATTGACAAGAAACAAAGTTTGCTAACAATTCTCACGTCAAAGGACACACGAATGTACTTAGATCCAAGGAATATGTGCTCTCTGCAAACGCCATACTGTCCTTGTATTTGCTCCTGTCACCTCAAATATTGATGATCACATAGAAAGCGAGGTAGAAAATCAAATCAAAAACCTTTCAAGCATGTTATGTTTATACATGTAAAAGTTGGTTGATTGTGTGATCATCCCAAGAATACGTCTTTTTACTCGTTATAGAGGAGAAAGCTCACATAGAGTATGGTTTCACTGATGGAGTTGAGCTCTTTGACGCAACCCTTTGTGATGTCATGTTTTGCTGATTAGTGGGAAAGTTTATAGATTGTATTAATTATTAAAAAAACGAAAAGTGCCCGAGCCTTCATGTTTCTTATGATATATCGGTATTGATGTACATAGCTAATTTAAATCGAATTTTCAAGAACACTCTCTTGTGTGTGGACCACGAATAATAATTCATATTATGCTGCCAATTTTGGCCCAAAATTACAGCGAATCATATAGATGTGCAATGTGCCAAAATCATTTGTAACGCGCGCTGTGGCCGTACTATGCCCCTATTTTGTTCTTTGCCATAGACCCAATTTTTCATAGAGAAGAATAATCTTGTATTGTATGATAAACATGGGTAAATTTGAATAAATTCAGAGCTGAGCCAAACATTGGCTTAATTTTCAAAATTACCACTCCATCATTGCATCGCCGTTCTTTGCACCGAGTCATGTCCAATTTTCAGCCTCTGAAGCCGTATTCTCCTTAAAAATGTCCGTTTTCGTCAATACATCACCGCTTTGAAGGGACTGTCACTTTTTACATCATCAATTTATTTTTTGAGACGTTATATGTAAACACGATTATTGCCTCAGTTTTCCTGTATACACGAATCTTTCCGCCGACAATTTTCAGACTATCGGATGGGCCATTCTTTTCAATAAAATCTCTTTTGAATGGCTAGAATTTGTCGTGTAAGCACTTATTTCACCTAAAAATTCCCAAATTTCTCGAGGGAGAGTAATTTCATAATTAGTTGCATGATGATGATAGAGAAGTATCGACATTGGCACTTGCATAACGACGGTGAAACTCCCAAACCAGTAACCACGTATCTCGGTTTGCAATGTTGTAGACTTCTTATTATACTTTATTTCTTAAATAATATAAACTACCCAAAGTCAATTCTTATAAACTTCTGTGATTTTTCTTTTCTGGGCGAAAAAAATTCTGTGAATACTTTAAGGAGTGCTGCCGATTCATCCCTACTCCTCAAAAAATAAAGGGAGTAGTGATTTTAAAACAACGCAAACAATATACGTGGTTTGGAAGTTTCGCCGTTCATAAAGTGTTTTTGCTTTCATTGGCGGATCTAGCGAATTGGCAACGTTTTTTTTCTCCATTTAAACATATGAAAATGTGTCGGTTCTTAGAGGGGCCAAGTGCTCCGACAAGAATCGATTATTTAGCATAGGTTTAAATGGAGGAAATCCGGTGTTGCCAAATTGCTGGATCCGCATCTGTTTGTTTCTCATCAAAGGTAGAAGTTGTACTCGTTATGTTTCACATCTCTTTCAAAATTGACGCGAGAATTGGTTTTGAGCAAGATTCGGTTTAGGTATCTGCATAACACACGATCAAAGTAAACCATTGGAGCAAACAAATTTACAAATCTTTTCCAGGGTTCCTTTGAATGAGTTAATTATGTGCCAAGATCATTTTTGGTTTTGAGGAATTAAAACATCCCCTCCATCGAAGCCCACCTCAGTTTTTCACGGTAATGGACCACTAGACAAGGTATAAATTTAAGCAATCTGATACATGTTTCTTAACCAGAATTTCACGTAGAACACGATTCGCACAACGAAAACTGATGAAACCAACTCCAAACGAAGATATTAACGTTTTTATTTCACATTGGTTACGAGGAATTTGAACTGCCCGCTCACAAGAAACTCAAAGCTCTACGTGAGTCAAATCGCGCACTACAACGGCTTCAGCAAGCTTCTCAAACGAGCAATGTTCATTTCCCACCATGTGTTGTTCAAACTATAAGCAATTTGCTATAGCTGAGCCAAAGCGTCAAAATTGAGGTTGCCAGATTTTTAAATCGCAGATACTTACTGTCATGATAACGTTTAGCGCGCGATGCGAATTACGTAGAGCATTGAGTTTTCATGCGCGGGTGGTTTGAATTTACGCATCAAGAATCATTAAATATCTTCGTAAGGAGTTAATTTTGGTAATTTTCGTTGTGCGCATCGTGTTTTACGTGAAATTTTGGTTAAGAAACATGTATCAGAATGCTAAAATTTGTACCTTGTCAAGTGGTCCATTGGCATTTTTGGACGTCAATATTTATAACTATCTAATCGAAGGTGCTTCATTAAATTTTAAGCCTAATCGACTGAGGGTCACACAACTATACCTAAGAGATACATTTCACGAAATTGAATTCGTAGAGTATATACGGCTTGTAGTTTAATACCTTGTCAAAAAAAAGGGGGAAATTGTGTTATAGTTAACATTGAATGTGAAAAAATCCGTGGAGAAGCCATTGTGGAAAATGAAAAACTTTTAAATGAATCTAGCTTGTTCCATCTTTCCGTTAATTTTACGACACTAAAAATACAAGTGCATAACATTTAAGTGTCGGTATTGACAATGTTTTAATCGGGTGTGTCCCCGTCACATCCAAAATATCATGGAGTTGGCTAGTGTCGTTGCAAGGTGGAAACTAATGACTCATTGTTGGGACCTCAGCACGAATTAAATTCATACGGAGAGGAAAAGAAGAAACTGTCATTCAAGTCATCAAGACGCATGATGATTTAAGTGTCTTGCGTAGTAAGACAACAATGTGGTAGGTAAATGATTCTTATTCCATAAAGATAATTGAGTTAGAATTGAGCACCGCTCTCGCGATCATGCCTAGATAACAAGGCAAGAAATCAAGTTCGCCTTCAACCTGATGGATGCAATTTGAGCGGCTCAGGAGTCAAAATAATTGTATCACGCATCCTAGTTTCGCATGATCGTTAGCAGAGACAAGTGAATTTCGTTGTTATCTTTGTGTTTACAATCACTGCAGCAGAAAGTTCAGTAACTTTCACTCGATTCTCGCCACAGAAAAATATTTTGATATTGATTTTGAGAAAACTTGCAAAAACTAGAATTGAGCACAATTCTCGCGGACACGTCTGAATAACTAGGAAGTGGATTAAATCAAGTTCGCTTTCGACTCGACCTCCCCTACGACTTCCATAACACTCGACAGATGTTGGTGAAAATTTCTTCTTTGCTAAAATTCATCGATACAACAGCGCAAAGGGTTAAATTCTGTGGTTTAAGAGTTGTGGGTGTAAAGGTCTGGGTGAATTATACCGTGGGTGATCAGTCTGTGGACGGGTAGTCTCAGAATTAAATATTCAACGCACGGAGATTTTTTTTTTTTTTTAAAAAAAAAGGAAAAAATTGTCGATTTACTTTCTTCTAAAAAGTCGTATAATTTGAGCGAAGATTTGCAATGACGCAATCAAAGTTACGCATTTTTTTTACGTTAACGTTCAAAATTCCATAAATTGATACATGAACATGCATACCTATGCCTGTTTTTCATTCGTAGGTAAATGAACGAAACAGAATTGATTTCAAAGAGAACTTATCTTAAAGATTTGTCTGCGTTTTTTCCTTTTTCCTTATTTCTCGTCTTTACTTAGAATCGCCTTTGAGAAAAATCAAGTTTTGGAACTATTGGGTGTTTCTTGCTTCAATATTCATTACGGACCTCTTCGAACTAAGGTATACTCGGCTCGTTTTTATTTTCTCCCACTCCAAGTCCCATGTTCCTTTGGATTCATCCCAGTTCTATGGTCGAAATAAAGCCACCAAAAACGTTTAGTTGAACTTGTTTTAACATTATTATTTGAGCACGATCAGGAAATTTGAATTAAAATATTTGAAAATAAAAATTAAATGACGTATTGTCTCCATCCTCTTCCGCATTCGGCCGTGCTAAAGAAGAACGTCGTATGAACATTCGAAAGTTGCCAAATTTCTCCGGATAAAACATGTATTTCTTGGGAAAGTTATGCATATTTTTCCGTGAAATTTTCAGATGCTTTAGATCAAATTGCGAACAAAGTTACCTGAAAACTTTGACAAAAAATATTAACAATTTTTCCAGTAAATTTGGTTTTTATTAAAGGAGATCTGGCAACTTCTAAAGGCTCATACGGCTCAGCACAGCAGTATTATGAGCTGATGTTCTGCTCCAAAGCATTTGATGCATTAAATAACCGGTGCATTATCCATCGAAGCATATGACCGAGGGGTTTGACCATTAGCGATTTTTCTACCTGCGAGACTGCATGAGAACGGTCTAGAAATGGAGGACTATCGAGTAGTGTATCTACCTACTCTCGATTACTTTTTAGAAAGAGGTGACAGGGTAGTTTTCCATCGACCTAGACAACAACACCAGACCTTGTCTCGATCTATAGTCTCGCTTAAACGGGAGACAGGAGTAGACAAAGCTACAGCGTCTCCTTATTCCATTGTTGCCAAGATTAATATATTGTAAACTTGGCCCGAGAAATCAACTTCAAATAGTAGGGTGAAACATGAAGGTTGACTCAACAGTGTGTCACAAGTAATTATAGGCAGTCACAAGTCATTATAGAGTGGCCAAAAAATGTATAATATGTATCTCGTTTTTATCACGTGAATATCTGGAACACGATGTATTTCAATTCACAGTTTCCGAACAGCTGTAAATGTTCCCCTTAAAATTAGATTGCCTTAAATTTTGAGACTTTGCATTCATGCTTCGAAAGTCAACACTGATAAAAAAATAATAGTTTTCTCCAACACATCTTTTTGAGAAGCAACATTTTGTTTTATTCACATGTTTTCAACGGTTGGTACTCTTCTCAGAGACTTTCTTTTTAAAAAGTACCCAAAAAGACAGCACGACGTACGTTCAATTTTATCTAAAAGCATAAGGGAAATCTTAATGTTATTAGCAGGTACTTAAAAAATTGATCAAACTGAAAAATATTGTCACAATTGCTTCATTGGTCCGTGGAACAAGAACATACGTTCGAATCAATTTTACTTCTGAAAAGTGCAAAAAAAAGGAAATTAATGACAGTTTAAGTACGTTATGAGACTACTAAAATTATTTCCTGGCTCCGACTACTACCTTAAATTGAATTTCGCTCCATCTGCAATTATAACGGCAAACTGTGCTGAGGAGGAAGGGTAATCTTTGGAATCTAGGTGAGCATTTCAAAGAAAATTAAGATGGTTCAACCATCTGAAAATTATTAAACGTAAAAAAAATTAAACAATTAAAAAATAAAATTAAACTGAGGTTGCAACCAGGGATGATCAGGTGAAAGTGTTCGACTCTTATAAAGTATTTAATGGTTGACTTCAAAAGGATTTTTTTAAAAAAAAAAAAAAAAAATGCATTCAAGTCAGGAGGAACGAAAGCTCTGAAACAGAAAAAAAAACATCATCTGAACATTGCAATCAGAACATCCGAACATTTGAATTTTGAGAAATAATCCACTCCCTACTTCAACCTCAAGTGATCGTCTTCGTACGATATAATCATAACCATAAGTTCGATCGAGAAAAACGTAGAGCAACAAGTGGCACCATCTTCTGAGCCGGAGGCCGGTTTTCACTTGAGAGATGTGTCGTCAGTTCGAAATGATTTAGTTTATCAGCTGCGCGCCTACCGGCATAACGTGCGCCATCCATCTCCTCATATCCAGCACTTCGCGAACCCATCGGAAAAATCGAATAATACTCATAATCGCAGATTGCAAACTCAATCCCCCCCCCCTTACTCCTCGACAAATACTCAATTTTGCAGCAGAAAAAAATCGTTAAGTTGAAAATGTCGTCCAATTCGAGAACCCTTAAGGGCGAGGATTGATTTTGAATTAAGTCGTTTTTGATCGAGCTAGATCGTATCCCCCGGTTTTGGGATCGAGAGTGAGATCGTCTGTGTGTTTGTGTAATGGTGACGGAGCTTTACAGTTTTTGCATCTTGTTCATCGGTAAGTTTACCAGCATTTCCATCACTATGAATATCGGTAGTTAGAACTGGAAAAAAAGTCTCTTGGATCCAAAGTCTACATTGGCGGATCCAACAAATTATGGCAACATTGTTTTTCTCCATTTAAACCCACGGAAATGTATCGATTCTTGGAGAGGTCAGGTGCTCCAACAAAAATCGATTGTTTAATCTACGTTTAAATGGAGGGAATCCGCCTAATTGCTGGATCCGCCTCTGAGAGCCCAGGTTCTAAAAAAAATTAACAAAAAAGATACTCTCGATCCAATCGAATTTTTCCTCGAATCAAAAATACAACTATATTAAGAGGCTGGTTTCTCGATTAAAGCAAAAATTTGCATGAATCAAGAACAAGTTTAAATAATAGTTTAATAATAAATATATAATAATAGTTAAGGGTACCCCCCAAAACTTGAAAATCCTACATAAAGGAGGATTTTAGGTGAGGTTGGAAAGGAGCCTAAACTGTATTAGCCCCCCAGGAATTTTCGAACCAAACAGACACTGGAAGCACTGTTACTGGATCATCCATAAAAGCACCTACCATGAGAAATCTGAATCTAAAATGAGCCAGAAATTTTAGTACCTAATTGCAAATGCAGTCTCGTTGAGGAAGTGTCTTAGTGGTTTCTTTGGAAAATATGTTCAAATTTTCCATTTACGTGGGAAAGGAAGCCTCTACATCGTATGCGGAATCGAGGTTCGGACGGCACACAGTGAGTCGAGTCAATCAGCATAATGAGTCGGGCATTTTTTTTACAAAAACTGCAAATTTTGATGCTTAATTCGTCACATTTTGAATTTTGCCTCTGCAAGGATAACCTCCTAAAACCTCAAACTTTTGTATGAACGGAGTTATGAGCTTTTAAAGTTTCCCAATTTTGTCCGACTGCTCCCATTGACTCGATCAACTGTGCTGCATCTTCAGGTAGGGCTGTTGCTGAGCAGAACCCTCTCCATTTTGGGCCTGGTGCCTCGTTTCGTCACATACGAATAAAGGGTCAAGAAATTCACTCTGCCTCATAACCCAGTGTGAGCTATCTGCATACTCTCAAAAATCGGCTTCAGATTGTTCAGAGTAATCAATAAAATATTGATTCTGGAATCACTTTGCAATGGTAAAACAGTTCCTTTCACCATATCGAAGCACATCAAAGTCTTACCGTCTATAACACCAGAACTTGCTTAAACCTGATGTGAGCTTCGTCATGACAGATCTATTTATGCATGATTCCTACTTCTCAGCTTCTTGTCGTGCTATTTTAGCGGATTCTTTGGAGAATTGCAAGCAAATTTCAAATAGGATGAATTGTTATTGTGTATTTAATAATTAATACTTTGCCCGCGTGATTTTCACTGGTGAGAGGCTGACATCCTGAGGTTAATCAATGGGCAGTTGGTGTAGAACAAATGTTCAGTGTTAAATCAAGATCAAAATCCCAGTATGTTTAGACCAATGCTTTTCTTTTGCCTAAAGTGCAACAAAATAAGTCCGCAAAGTACAAGCGAAAAAAGCTCTCCAGCATGGTAAGGAAAGCGACAGAAACAGTATTTTGGTAAAAGGAACTCGGTAATGGAAAGAGTTATGCGGTAAACTATTTGAGCGGAAGAGAAAGTTTCCTGGTACAGCGGTTTAAAGTTGCAAAACAAGTTCCCCGGAATAGCGAATTATGTGGTTCATTAATAATCAGAGCGTGCCAAGCGCTCCATATTCGGCGAACTGAGTTTTACTCGGAAAATTGGGGTTCTAAGAGAAACACGCACACAAAATTGCTATTCCAAAATGCCTACTCATTAATTTTTTTTCTGAGGACCCTTTGAAGTCTGCCACTACTTAAGCACTTTTGAGATTTGTTCAACTTTTTAAAAAATAATAAATAAAAATAAAAATTAAAATGAAATAAAACATATAAGTACTTACTTACCGAAATTGAATGACGCTTGACCAATAAAAATTCAATGATTTTCCGCATCTATTTTTGAATGGAGTATTCTGCTAAGTATAGACCACACGATTATTCGTTGATATTCAAATAGCCGGGAAAGTCCTTAAATGATCTGCGTTCCGGGAGAATATCCGAGAATAATGTCCTCAATGGCGTTCGTGGCAAGGAAAAGTATTCGAATTGCCGTGTACAGCAGTTCAAAATATCCATTACTAAAACCCCATCAGTTTTCGCGTGAAAAAAGTCATCGCTCTTTTCTCTGCAACGAATTGTCACATTACGCAATCTGAAATCCTACGTTCTTCATGAAATTGGGCGCCGTTGTTGGGGATTATTCAACTGCAATGTGATAACTGAAGTGTGTGGTTCATTGTGCTAAGCCGCTTTCAGCCTTTGCTGAAAATACATGCATTGCTTTCGATAACGCTAATCCTAGTCACAGGAAAGAATGGAGACAAAAAATATATGAGCACCAAAACGCTGAAACAGGTAGATAGATCGTAGATTTTAATCCGAGTTTTCCTTAATCAGAGACACAGGTGCGCAGTTTATTCCATAAGACAGATAGTCATTAATTCATACATATGGTCACTTCCAGTAGCAGAGCACATAGTGTACAACGGTTGAAAGACGACACCTCGCACATTTTTTTGATCAATTCAAGTGTAATTCGATGTGAAATCGTTATCATTTTTTAAGGTAAAGTCGCGCCTTTGGTAATCAAGCGGATAGAGCCTTAGAGTGAAAACCTCATAATCGACGAGGAAGTCAAAATTTCACCACTGAGCGTAAGTGAAAAAATCATCGGCTATGTACTACAAAGCTAGAACACTGAGGTACACACGATTTTCCTAATTATACAATCAGGAAAATTAACCGACATTTTATGTCAGTAAGGGAAATGGAATACAAATTAAGCTAATCGTTAGGTTTTTTTTTCGGTAACATTGACCGAACCTTCGTGTTGAGAATTTGCAACATCGATAAACTTTACACACGAACCGGCAGGGTCGATTGTTCCAACGCCCTGGTCATTCGCAAGTCTCAACCTCTGAGGGACATCAATCAAGAGTGCATTCTAACTACATAATTAGTTCAGCAGGATACTCTCTTCATCTCTAGATGTCTTAGAGTAACCAAAGGTTTCAGTCGATTTCACTGAAAATCTCGTCGAAACCAAGACCTAAAAACAAAAACCTATTGGTTAATCTGACCGCAAAGAAAGTAATCGAAAGTAATCACAAGGAAAAATATTTTTAACTGTGTACTCTTACATGACGTAGGCACAAAAAACAGCAACCAATACGATGAAACGTTTCGTTCTTTCAAAAGAAAAAGAGCGCCGCTCTGCATATGAATCAGTTGTTTTCTGAGGGGACATGTCCAACCCTTGACGAGTCCTAGTTAGCATGTCCCTTTATGCGACTCATGGCTCATGCAAAAATGAACTTGTTCCCTCTTGAAAACAACCGATTAAGTTGCCGGGGGCAGTTCGTTAGGTGCACATAACCTTCTTGCCGCCACGAAACTCCTTTGAGCCTTTTTAAGATAAATTGTCAAACCCCAATCCAAACAAAACAAGGCAGTTAGTCAGTCTCCGCTGTCACCAAAGAGAAAACAAGAGTCCGCATTGCATTACAAAAGTGCGTGGTCGCCCGACGCCCCGCCCACTTACTTTTCAGCCAATCAGACACCCGACGACCAAATTTTCATTTCTTATGGGAAATAACATGGGAAATCGAAACTATGAGTTTCATTCAAATTCAGTCAGTTTCATGGCAAAAATATGTTCACGACTGGATTCTCGGTATTCTGGCATTTCTATTGGTATGTAATATGTTTCACTTTCCTCCAAAAACACCGAAGATTTTGATTTTTGAAATTTCAATTTCCACTCGGGTTGCTCCAGTCCAGTCCAGTTTCCAGTCGAACGTCGAATGCATGGGCATGCATCTCACGTTGACGATCAATTGAAGATCATTGTTATTGTTTCGCACTTTTGATTAATATCGTTCAAAAGATTTTTCTGATCATATTATTGAAAACACTTTTTTCCTACGGATTCTGAAAGTTTATTGTGTTGACTTTCTGAGTGTCAGACCGCTCACAGTGAATGTTAATTTTCTGCAGTAGAACGGTGTCAGTGTTGTTACTATTTTCAATCCGAACGATGCTTGTACTTTAAAGTGTTTTGAAGCCTAATTTGTATCTCTGTGCATCATCTCCAGCCTGTTTTTATTTAAAATCGAAAACCTGGGATAAGCTAATCTGCAGGGAAAAGTCCGAAAGGTTGCACGGAGGTCCATATTTGTGTCAAGCACAAGTGTAAATTCCTTTGAAAAATGACCATCTTTGTGATAATGTAATGAAACTATGCAATTAAGTATGCAGAGAATAGTCAGGTAGAAGATTTACCATCTCTCTGAACTTGAGATTGTGTCCTAAAACTCTAAACTACACCGAACGCGGTGCAGTGTTGTATCAATCTAATTTTTTGCATTCTTCTTGGCAAACTCTGTTCTCCTGTCCTATGTTCACGGCGCTGTGTGGTACTTACTAAATTTTTTAAAGCAACTTCACCCAAAGTGCGCACTAGTCCTGATAGACACAATAGTGGTAGTGTACTATTCATGTGATTTACACCCACCATTCAAGCCCGTGTCAGTGAGAAGGAATATCTACATACACAGTTTTTAATCTGCTCTACCGCGTTTTCCATTCGTATTTATGAACTGTCTCCTTTCTGCTTTGAAGTCTGATTGCTACACAAAATAATGCTATTGGTCTACCCGTAGCTTATTTGTAATAGTCAGTCTCAAAGAATTTTCAACGGCACGGATCATCTGGAATTTTATGGATGCCTAATTCCTCCACCATCTCTTCACTTTGAATATTTGTTATGTCCAGAAATGGAAAGGTAAGCAGGGATATAAATACTTTAAGTTACTCTTCTAGGAACTAATAAGCAAAATGTCTGTGCTCAGGGAGATCCTATTGAATCCTACTAGTCACTCAGCTGAAGATGGAGAACAGTTTT